CAGCAAATCAAGAACAGGATCATTCTCTGTTCGTAACTTTCCTATGGCACTACAAATGGGCTTTTCTAGCAGGTACTCTGCCGAGACTGGCCTACACCGGGTTTAGTTACTCACAACCGTTTCTTGTCGAAAGAGTATTGGACTTTGTAGGCGAAGATAGATCGCCCGGCAGCAAAAGCACCGCGTATGGGCTGCTTGGAGCGTATGCAATTGTCTACGTAGGCCTATCTGTATGTCACTATCCATCTTCACATAGTGTTGCACATGCCTGATACAGTTAAACTAGTTGTCATACGCGGTCTACCAACACAAGACTTACCGGCTGTTGACCCTGTACCGCGGCAGTCTTGTCACAATGATATTCCGCAAAACATTGAGGATGAGCGCGTCTTCCACTTCGGAAGCAGAAGCAATCACCCTTATGAGTGCTGATATTGACCGCATCGGGTCGAGCATGTCACTTATACACGAGCTCTATGCCAGTGTGATCGAGCTTGCAGTTGCCCTGTGGCTGCTGTATAGGTTGCTTGGCATAGCAATACTCGCACCAATTGGCTGGGTAATCTGTATGTCCAAGACCAGCGCCATTTCTTATATGTACGCACAGCAGCTTACGTCGACTAGTCTGCCTCATTGCCGCAGTCCCTCTTGCCAGAGCAGCGGGAAACGCCCAGATCCCATGGCTTGAGGCCATTGAGACCAGGCTCACGGCAACCGCCAAGGCACTCGGCAGCATGAAGGCCATCAAGATGACAGGGCTGGCGGACATTGTGTCATCGCGCATTGCGGGTCTTAGGATGGATGAAATCAAAGCCTCCCGGCGTCATAGAGTCTTGAACGTTCTCGTCTTCATTTCTTGTATGCTCCCAATTGACTCGGATGTCTGGCTGGATGAGTGCTTGGCGCTAACAATGTTTGACAGACTTTGCTTCGACGGCGTTGGCGCCGGTATGGGCTTTCACCGCATTCATACTCATCGCAAAGGCCCGTGGCTCTGAAACATTGACCGAGGGAGTAGCATTCGCAGTTCTCAGCATTTTCGAGCTGTTAAATCAGCCAATTATATATATCGTTGACGGAGTTGAGCACATCCAGACCGTCATCAACTCATTTCAGCGTATCCAGACTTATTTGACTTCGCCAGAGCGAGAGGACCAGCGAGATCTTCCCGCTCCAGATATGTCGTCTGACTCCAGCGTCTTTGGAAAGGATGACATTCATGGTAAGGTCTTGAAAGATGAGAAGATGATCATTTCGCAATCACAAAGCCCCGATATTATGCTGTCTCTGAATGAGGTGTCAGTGGGATATAACCTGGAAGAAAAGATTGTCCTTGGTAGCCTGACCTTTACAGTACGTCGCGGACAGATCACGGTCATAGCAGGGCCTGTAGGGTGCGGCAAGTCAACATTACTACGAGCTATTTTGGGAGAAGTTCCATTCAAAGGGTCAATTGCGACTGGATTTAGAACAGCTGCGTACTGCCCACAGACCCCATGGTCAACCTGGGGCACGGTCAGGAATAACATTGTCGGTATGTCGCCTTGGGACAGGACGTGGTATGACGCGGTTGTGGATGCGTGTGCTCTCGATGCAGATTTCAGAGAGTTGCCTGATGGAGACCAGACAATGACTGGGACTCGCGGATCACAACTGAGTGGAGGGCAACAAATGAGAGTGGTAAGAAGTCCCTCAACTGGCAATCCATCGCATAGTCTAGTCCACTGAAGCTGTACAGTCATTCGCAAGGGCTCTGTATTCGCGGAATCCAGTCATGGTCCTCGATGACGTCTTGACGGGTCTTGACAGAACCACTGAGAGGCATATCATCGACAGAGTCTTCTCGAAAGATGGTGTGTTGAAGAAATTGAATGCGACTGTCATCATGGCTTCCAACTCAGGTGCGTACTGCTACATACACAAGCCCGATGGAAGCTAATCTTCACAGCACACCACTTGGACCTTGGTGATCAAGTTATCGTCCTTGATGAGAATGGCAGGATAGTCCGTCTAGGAATCCCCAAAACTGTTTCTCTACCAATATCACCGATCCAGCCCGACATTACACGCCCTCAGCTGGGACCCGGTGAGCAGAACGACGATGCCGAGGCATGGCAAGAAATTGACATGTTGATTAACCCCGCGACGGAGCAAAATCGCTACGCTGGCGATATGAGAGTTTATGGGTATTACGCAAACATCGCGGGTCGTTGGACCATAGGCATATACCTATTTGCTTGCTGTACTTTTGTATTCGGCATGACGTTTCCATGTCAGTACATTCCAGCCTGCTACCATGGAAGAAGTAAATGCTAAGTAGAACAGCCGTCTGGATGCAGTGGTGGACAAATGCAAACGCCGAGCACCCAAATGAGAGAACGGGGTATTGGCTGGGTGTATACGGCGCGCTTGCGGCTTTGACAATTCTAGGCTGCGCTCTGGCAGATTGGTAAATGCTATACACCTACATTGAAGCCCGTATGCTAATCTTCATAGCACTTTTAACTTGGTAGTTTTGCCAAAAACCTCTCGAAAATTCCATCAGCTGCTCCTAAACACCACAATGCGGTACGTACTCTCGAAGACTTGTTGTACAACCAACTAATCCAGAGTGTGAAAGCGCACCTATATCATTCCTGACATCTACGGATGCTGGCACAACCTTGAACAGGTATGAAAGTATTCGCACTGTTGAATCGCAGAACTAATGGTGTGCCATCAGATTCAGTCAAGATCTGGAGCTGATTGACAATGACTTGCCTCAAGCAATGGACCAGACCGTGTTTCAATTTCTGTCTGCCATCGTTTCTGCAGTTCTCGTCTTTATCGGCTCCAGCTACATTGGCGCGGCTATCCCTCTGTGCATCGTGGCTCTTTCTTTTGTCCAATTTTACTATCTGCGGACTTCCAGGCAGCTCCGACTTTTGGATATTGAGGCCAAAGCCCCGCTGTTCTCGCAATTCCTAGAAACAGTCAATGGCATCTCCTGCATTCGAGCATACGGCTGGTCAGAAGCATACATGGAGAGGAGCTACATGGCTTTAAATGTCTCCCAAAAGCCTTACTACTTACTTTGGTGTATCCAGAGGTGGTTAACGCTAGTCCTAGATCTCTTTAACGCGGGCCTTGCACTTCTCTTGGTAGGTATTGCGACTAACATCCAGGGCAGTGCGTCGAGTTTTCTTGGTGTTGCGCTCTTTAATATCGTCACATTTAGCAGTACCCTTCAAACACTCGTCACTGAGTGGACTCAGGTAGAGACTGCTCTGGGTGCGATCAATCGAATCCGGTCATTTGTTTTGAACGTGAAGAATGAGAATCTCCCCGAGGAGAACCTCCAGGTGCCCCAGAGTTGGCCAGCAACTGGAAAGGTTATATTCAACAATATCTCGGCGTCATACAAATCCAGTAATGAGCCAGTACTCAATGAAATTAGTTTTGAAGTTGAATCTGGCCAGAAAGTTGCAATTTGTGGAAGAACAGGAAGGTATGGTTCATTTTCCAGCTCCTGTGGACAAATTGTTGCGTATTGACTCTCGTGTAGTGGCAAATCTTCACTCATAGCGACATTGCTTAGACTTCTGGAGATAGATTCAGGCACGATTTTGGTAGATGGCATAGACATTAGGACTATACCACGACAGGAAGTACGCCGCAGATTAAACACAGTACCGCAAGACACATTCTTTCTTGCAGGAAAGCTGAGAGAGGATCTGGACCCCTTCCAGTTTGCTACGGATGACCGCTTAATTGAGGTCCTTCGCGCAGTGAGCCTGTGGGAAATTTTCGAGCCGATTGGCGGACTAGAGAGTGAAATTGAGGAAGAGTTACTGTCGCATGGTCAACGTCAGCTCTATTGCCTTGCTCGAGCCATCATCAGGCAGAGTCCCATACTCGTCCTGGATGAAGCAACGAGCAATGTCGATGCAGACACAGACAAGGCGATGCAAGCGCTGCTGCGAAGCGAGTTTAAAGATCAGACCATTATATCAGTTGTGCACAAATTGCAGAGTGTGCTTGACTTTGACAGGGTCATCTTGCTAGAGAATGGGCGAATGGTGGAGAGCGGGAATCCCAAAGAGTTGCTTTCCACACCGGGATCAGCGTTCCTGGCTTTATATCAAAGTCTGGGGCCTGGTCATGAGGATTAGCGATCTTGCGGGTTATCCTAGATCATTCAGCACACGACAGAGCGAAATAGACATGGTTTTGGAGTGTTTGCACCTTTTAACCCTAACCCTTACTAACACCCCTGTGGTCATTCATGTGTTGGATCGAATCCCAACTAAGCCACAAGGCAAAAATTGTACACGCCTACAAATATTGCCGTAGCAGCTGTAATTACTTTATTTAAACCAACATTATGATTGGCTATTTGGTAGTGCGCGCTGGAAGGCAAGGTGGACGCATGACATGCCGCCAAGGAAGGATTCCGATTCCGAATTCCGACTCGGATTCTTCCGCCGAGAGCCCCCACTGGAGGCCGAGAACCGGATTCCTCGGTCCTGCTCGTCCTACCCTACTCCACTGTTCTGATGGTATTATTTTTCCAACAACGATTGATGAGAGTGCACGACTACTTGAGGACAATGAAATGATCTGTCTACAGCTATATACCATAGCTACCAAGGCAGCCAGAACCTCGCTGCGATAGTGATAAAGTAGAGGCAAGACGTCTGACAAGCTTAATAATTGTGTGTGTTAGCTTCATGCGCTTTGACGGACCAAGTATGAGACAGGTTTTGGCCAAGTGGATAATTTTCCCATTGGCGTGTCCGATCGTGGATGTGACGCTATCGTCTCGGAACCCGGGACCACTACAAGCTGACGTACCCCTGGCAGAAATATAATACTTATATGTAGGACTTGACGTGCCATATTGTATTCAGCCGTCCCATCTCTAAACCGACTCCGCATTCTACATACCATTGCCACTATATGAGTAAGGCTGAAATACAAACCAGAACACTTTACAAAATATATATTCTCCCGCTGTCGTCATGAGCACAATTGAACTACGGGGTGTAGGAGGCAAACCCGTCTCAGGTAAAGCATGACCCATGAAAAACGCGACCAGAGTCATCCAACTAAATCATCCAAGTAAACACCGGCCTTTTCATCAACAACGAATTCCAGCCATCTGTCGGCGGTGATGTCTTGCCAGTGGAGAATCCTGCTACCGGTGATTTATTAGCCTCAGTATCATCAGCACAACGCGTTGATGTTGACGCGGCAGTATCAGCCGCGCAAGCCGCTTTTCGAGGCCCGTGGAAGGATGTGCTCCCAGCGAAGCGAGGAGAGCTTCTCCTGCAACTCGCCTCCCTAATGGAGCGCGACATCGATGACCTCGCTAGTCTCGAGGCTCTTGACGCGGGCATCTTGGCCGGGGAATCCAAGGGCCTCCACGTTCCGCAGGCGTGCGAGACGCTACGGTATTTCGCCGGATGGGCCGACAAGATTACCGGGCAGTTGCTTCATATCCCCCAGGGCTATGCCTACACTCGACGAGAACCTATCGGGGTATGCGCCGCTATTGTCCCGTGGAATGCGCCGTTGTAAGTAGCCCAAACCCCACAAATTGCCTCGTGACCGAGACTTCGGCTTCCTGACATGGGGTGATGGGGTCGATGTAGGATTATAACCTGCTGGAAGCTCGCTCCTGCCATCGCCGCCGGCAACACGCTGATCATCAAGACGCCGGAAGCAGCACCGTTGTATGGACAAAAACTCGCGGCGCTCGTCCGTGAGGCTGGCTTTCCACCGGGAGTCATCAACATCATCACCGGAGAAGGTCCAGTGGCTGGGCAGGCTCTCGCCGAACACTTGGGCGTCAAGAAGCTTGCCTTTACCGGGAGTTCCATTGCGGGCCGCCAAATCCTCAAGGCTTCCGCCGACTCCAACTTTAAAAAGGTGTCGTTGGAACTGGGAGGCAAAAGCCCGTCCATTGTCTTTGCAGACGCAGATCTTGAGAACGCGTTATTCTGGACGACTCTGGGCATTACGGCAAATAACGGGCAGGTGTGCGCCGCGGGATCGCGCATATATGTGCACTCGTCCGTATACGAGAAATTCCTTCATTCTTTTGGAGAGAAGATTAAGCAGTCGTCTCCTGGTGACCCTCTGTTGCCTGAGAGTACAAAAGGCCCAATTGTAAACAAGAAGCAGATGAGCCGCATCATGGGGTACATTGCACATGCAAAGGAGTCTGGCCTTAGGGTAATTGGCGGGAGCGAAAACAACACCTCTCAGGGATACTTCGTGCCCAGTGTGGCTTTCGCCGATGTACCAAACGACTCGCGTCTCATGCAGGAGGAGATATTTGGCCCTGTAGCGGTATGTCTATGCCCCAAGACTGGTATTTATCATGTCAAGGTTGCTTGATTGCTAATTTCTGTCTTCTTCAAGTCCATTGCCAAGTTCGAAACTGAGGAAGAGGTCATCGGGTTGGCCAATAACAGCAGCTATGGACTGAGTGCAGCCATTTTCACCAGCAACATTCATCGTGCGGACCGAGTTTCGGCTGCACTCGAGAGTGGCCAGGTCACGGTAAACTGCTGGGGTCTGCTGAACGCCAACGCGCCGTTTGGAGGCGTGAAAGAGTCCGGGTTCGGCCGGGATATGGGACAGGAAGCGCTTGAGGACTGGTTGGTGACGAAGAGTGTTAAGCACAACATCCTACCTGCCTAAAGGGAAGAACCCTTGGGCTGCCCAGGCCTCTCAAAACGCTCATATGTAATTATGTAGAAATGGTTCTGCGGATAGAGTAGTTGGGGTAGACGTTGCTTCTCATCATATCCATACTGGTCAATTTGTTTCCCAAGGCTTACCAAATGACGTCGAGCCCCAGGAGACAGATGTGAGAATGTCTGGACTCTTGTATCGCTTGTCTGACCCAAACTAACAAGGTACTACTGATGCGGAAATGCTTCGTAGCCATGAATTCATTGGCTTGTAGCAGTACTTGAAGCGATTTGACACAAATAATGACGTTGGTGAGAGGCCCTAGCTGTTGGAAATTGAACATCTACTTGTTAGTTTAATATGCGTGTCTCGCATCACACTCATGGTTCAGTGCGTGGCTGTTAAACTACACCGATAGCGTAGTGAAAGTCCCCCTCAGGACTTGAGGATTTAGCCCTCGCTTATTAGTAGTAATCTCAGAGTGATGAGAGCACTTATAGCGTTGTACCTTTGTAGTAGCGACATTCTATAGAATTTAGATAAGCGGCAAATCTAAGATGTTTCCACATATATTTGTTAGGCAAGGACGAGGAAGAACTATGAGCTAGCGTAATCATGTGCGTAACTATGGAGGAGTGTGCTATAGATACCAGCAGATGGCGACTCAGACGATCTAGAGATATGATGAACCACTGTTACGTAGAGTCTACTCGTAATCCGAGTCAAATTCTCCACAGATATGACGACGTGCATCGACAAAAACTAGGTACGATCATTGACATCGAACTTCTTTTGATGAGCAGCGCAGAAATGATGTGACAGTCCAATCTGCGTAATTTCCTCCATCTCCGAAGGTGTCAGACTAAAGGTCAACGCTTTCCTATACTGTGTCAAACGGTCTGGATTCCGGGTGGTCGTGATAGCAACTACGTTCTGTTGATTATGCCAGTTGAAAAGAATGGCACTTGGCTCGACGTCATACTTCTTGCCTAGGGTCTCAAGTAGTGCATCGAGAGGACCGCACTTTCCCTTGGTAAGAGGCACCAAACCTTTGAATGCCATAACCTGGATGCCATTTTCTTTGCATCCAAGGCACGTACTGGTTCGCACGTTGCAAATATGGTTGGAATTCGATCTGGTTGATCACCGGAGGTGAAACAGCGCTCTGCGATGGACTTTGCTTTGCCTCATGCCTTGACTTGCTCCATGTCTTTCCACGCTTTCTCGAGATCTTCATCGTTCTTGGCGAAGAAAGGCGCATGAATGAGGTACCTAATCAAAGTGACGCAAGCATGAATGATTTGCCAGTGCAGACTTGGCCAGGCTTGACTCACATATCAACATCGGAGAGCTGTAGCTTCTTTAAGCTGTTGTCGATGGCTTGGAGAATATTGAAGACATTGTCCTGGACCTTGGTCACGATGAAGAGTCGCTCTCGAGGAACGCCACACTCGCGAATCGCGACACCCAGCTCTTCCTTGGTCCCGTAGGCGTCTGCACGATCGATGTGAGAGAAGCCTGCGCCAATTGCCTTCTTTAAGATATCAACGAGTGACTGGTCAAAAGGACCTTTGCCGTCGGGCTTGTACCATGCGGTACCTGTTCCGAAACCGAGCTGCGTTGGAAGTAAATGACTACCTGTGTATCATGGAGCAGAGGAGGAATGACCTACCTTGGGTACATGTATGGAATTTCCATTCCTGAGCGGCAACGACTGAATCTCCATTTTTTCCGGCCGACAAGACTGTCGGTATTCTAACCGCCTTCGTTGCAGTTAACAAGCCCGATTGCTTTGCAATGGAGCAAGCTGAAACTTTAGAGCAGAAGAACTCGACCGTGCAAGGAAGCATTGACATTAATGGAACAGTCGATGCATATGCTTGAAGCTAAGACAACTCAAGGCTTCCTGTTGCTAAAATAACGGCAATCGATTATTTGAGGCAGCAAGGTTAGTGGGGCAGACACACAATGCAGTTGCTCCCGTGGGCCGTGTGACACCAGACGGAAGTCACGTTGTCAAAAAGGCACCAGACGGGTCGAACCTTGAACCCGACGAATTACACAGGGGCTCGAGACCTATTTGAGGCCTTAGGCTTCTAGGCTCGCTTGCTCACCAATGTTTCATATAAATAGGTACTTGAAGGTTATCTGCCCTTAAGCCTTAGAAGAAAACTAAGGACTTTTAATATTAAAGCGAATTATTAGCTCCATACTATTAATTCAACCGCTTATTATAAGCTTTTATTATAACTATTTTAGGTGCTAAACTGACTTGTTTCTTTTTAAAAAGGATTTTAAACGCGATTTTTCGGAATTCTCTTCAAATTGAAGCTATTTATAGGTATTTATATAGATATAACTAGCATAATATATTAATAATAAGAGTCTTTTAAGCCCTCTTTTAAATTTATATATTTTCGCTTTTATTTATGCCTGTGTTCTATATAAATTTACGAGAGGTAACCTTTTATAAAGCTTATAAGAACCTAGTTATTAAACTGCCCGAGTTCTTGATCTCGCCTAGGATCAAGCAAGTGTGATTCTCACCGACTTCAAACATGCCAATATCTCCTTGAACGCACTACAACGCAGACTTATCTGAGTTGCTTTGACTAGAGAGCTGATCTACTACTAGTGCGGTGATGTAGGCAGTGACGACATCGACATCAAGCTGGATCGCTTCTGGTGAATTATCTTTGGGGACGTGTAGAAAAGCGGCCATTCCGAGCATTGATATGTAGTTTAATTGCAGTTCTGCCAGAGACGAGTAAAGTCGGTACTCGCAAAAGCCGCTGTTGGGGTCGGCAGAAGCCCGAATAGGTATTTCCTGAGATGACCAACAATGTAAGCCTTTTAGCTGTAAAACGACGTAGGGGGTAGGAGAGACGTACTGGAAATGTGACCTTTACACGCGCCACAGCCGTGTCAGAGTCGAAGGCAGGATCAAGACTCTCTGGGAGTCCAAGTTTTTGAAAGTATTCCTTGTTGATGTACACGCCGTCCTCGCCAGGTCTCTCGTACCCATCTCGGTACGCAATTCTCTCAGCTTGGAACTCTGGGACTGCAGTAGTCATCCCAAGGTGAAGGCCGAAAGCAAAATCGACCACTTCATCTTCTTGATCATGGCTAGGCTCAGAAGGAAGGAAGATCGTCGAGCGGTCCAGACCTTTTCAATCATCTTCAAGATATCCTCATAGATATCGAACGAATCACTGTGGTATTTGAGAACGACAATATCGGGCTTGCCAAGGCGGCTGATAAGGCTCGGGGTGGCGTCTCGAATTACACGCGAACTGTTGTACTTGTTCTCCTTATAAGGCTGGCGAATTTATCAGCATGGCTATCCATAGAGGGAAGAGAGTAGACAAACCGCATTGCCAGTGATAAAGATAATCGTTGTGCTACCATTGTTGAGGCTCATGGCAGGGCAAGACATAAGGCCGATTGAGAGGAAGGCCTTTACCTAGTGGCATCAATTAGCACCAGCATTACTGTTACACGGAAAAGGCCCAACAGATCGTGAATTATAATAAAAGGGCTTTACTAATATAGGACTTATTAGTTATATAGCTTAAATATATACCTAGGTATACGCTTTAAGCTTAAGTATTTTATATATATATAAGGTAATTACCTTTTTTTTATAGTAACCTAAAATCTTAGAGACCCTTTAAGATTAGTATTAAATTAGGCCCTTTTGCTCTAAGCCTTCTATATCGAACCCTTGTCACAATCACGTAGCCTTCCTGCCAAGGAGGCAGAGATATCGGCTAGTGTAGTGCAGTAACCGTTTTGATTGAAGGCGTCAGAGTTCTGGATTCCAATGAGACCACCCGAGCTGTTCCAATAGGTCGTGCGGCGACACACCTTGGTTGCCAATATGTAACATGATATCCCTGCAGCTAATTGATTCCTTTGTGTCCATGTCGGAGTCCGGCGTCCACCCCTGTCAAGCGCCACGGGAGGTGGATACTTAACCGGGCCCTAATCAATCGGTAAGCCATTCATGAGCCGGAGCCCCCCACCTGCCATGAGGACACCCCACAACCGGTGGAATCTCGGCATCTTGATTGGATCCATCGATGCGGGGTATATGGCGAGTGTCTCTATGTAGATGGCATGACTGGAGAGGGTCAAGTTTGCAAATCAACTGTCAATGGTCATATTTTTCCGCTACTGAGCTTGTAGGAGTTCATTCCTCTTGGTCCAGCTAGGGCCTTGTATTGGCTTAGTCGGCAGCTTCATTCTTCCTCCTCTCGAACGACGCGCATAACCTGTTCATCCCTCCCCCATCTACCGCTTGGAGCCAAAAGCAAGCATTGTAGATGTCAAGTGCGACCTATCCGCCCTTTACAAGAAAACACCCATACACCATGATGGATCCCTCGTCGCTAGGACTCAGAAAAATGGATTCCCGCCTTTTTGGCTGTAAACACGGCGATCAAGTCCATAAGCGGTGGTGAAAGGGCGTCATAAGTTTGAAGCCCGAGTTGTTTGAACTTGGCCCTCACGTCATCCATGCGCCGGGGATCAAATCCCTGCTCAATAATAGAAGACACAAAGGCCGCAAATTGCGGCTCCTGCCACCCTTTGTTGTCAGACAGCTCAACATGCACAAAATCCAGCCCCTTGAACGGATGGTCTTTTTCAATGCGGCCGTACAAGTGAACCCCGCAGTCTGTGCAGGCATGTCGTTGGATTGCGGCCGTCTTGTCCACGACGACGAGCTTCGACCCATTGGCAATCACGGAGAGGCTATCCCGAGGCACAACGCCAACAATGGAGAAGAGTGCACCGTGTGGTTTCCAGCACTTGGAACAGCCGCAGGCGTGATTGTGGGCGACATTGCTCTTCAGCGAAACGGCCACCTTGTCGGATGGGCAGTGGCAGTATAGGGTTCCGCCGGCAAAATTGGCTTCGCCTTTGACGATACCACCGTCGATAAGAGGATGAAGGGAAAGGGTCATTGTAGCAGGTATGGTAGGTAGGCAGTGTTTTGTGATCAGTTTTATGGCACATACAGTAACAAACTGCCAAACGATCGGTGACTGCAAGTATTTATATACATGCATGTGGCAATCGAACAGAGCCAAGAGAACCCCCGCGCGTACGGAGAAAAGCCGGACAATGACCATTTCGTTAGTTTTCCTACCAATAGAGAATATCAACAGCTCTGATGCCGGCGCCACGTATATTGGAGGTCGAACTAGTTGACTTCGCCGATGATCGGGGCCAATATAAATCGAATCCCGCAGCCCGCGATTCTCCCGAATTCCCGAGCAAATAGCGAGTCAAGTCTCCCCGTGTGGCGCATAGCATGCCGAGACGAATGATGTCAATTGGTTTGCTGTTGACATCTTTCACTACTGTACCCTGATTAAGTTGAAAGTTTCAAGATTTTCCAAGAAAAGGTCTGCCATATGGAAGCGGGATTGGTGTAACCGTCGAATAAACCTACCGAAATAAGAATTCTGTGCACTATGATTGTCGACACATCTATCGCCTGCCTTGATGCGCATTTGACAAACACGGATGGTAATGTGCGAGCTGCGACAGATGCTGTTGATTGGACACCACCGCCGTTGGCCTGTCCTTGCGTATAAATAATGATAAGTTGCTACGTGGCGCCGGGGAATCCCAGCAATGCGAGATTCTACGCTACAGCCTCCTTGCCCGCGCCTTATTTCCTGCACGTATGACACTATTACACCTCGACGGCGAGACGTCAACAGTGGCCCAGAAGTAGAAAGTAGTCATCATCGGCAGTAGATGGGGCAGTTACCGGCTAGGACACGGCATCGACCACCGCAAGTACCATGACACCCTCATTTCGCCCGAAAAAACCAACTTCTGCAGTGACGCCTCTCCTTGCCAGTGCTGCCTGCAGGCTTTTTGATCCTCGTGTCGCCCATGAGCCCATTCGTCGAAGGGACTTCCATGCTAGGTATATCAAGGCATATGTCATTGATGTCGTTTTCCATACGCAGACAGTCGTCTGCCAGCCGGCCTTTGAGCAGTTGAAGGATGAGCAGTTCAACGTCTTCTATGACAAGATGGTCATCACGCCGGGACGCCGCAGCAACAAATTTGGTATTCCCAATGTGGAGGAGAACGCAATCTTCGTAAAGAATGTGGCCAACGCAAACACGATGCGCAGCCGGGTCAACGATTTACTCGAGATGGCGTCATTGCCCCGTGTGTCAGAAGTTGCTTCACATCTTTAACGTTGGAGGTGGTCCTACAGGCATTTAGGTGGCAGCCGAGTTGACGGATCTCTTTGACGGCGATTTGGGTCTTTTATTTTCACACCTCAAGGACGAGGCATCGGTAGCGGTACTATTCGAAATGATTCGAAATGAGCAACCGTGAGATCAGTGTTTGGGCTGCGGCCGGGACCGTAGAGAATGTGACTGTGAGGAAATATCTCCTCAGGATGCCCTTCCTGGCGCTGCCAACCATCTAGCACATGGTCTTCAAATCAATGGGCAAATGACGTGCCAGGCAGGGAAATGTCAATGGTGTATCGGGAAAGGGGCAGGGCTAGGATGCTAAAATTGGTGAGCCTTTGTCAGTAAATAAGGGACTGCTTTGGGTTCACCATATTCGCTTTGGTATTTGGATAACCCTCCAACGTTTCCCGCGGCAATCTGCTGTGGGTTGCCGTGCGTTTCTGATGTGTCAAATTCCTCATTTGATCGCTTCCTGTCCAGAGCTGTCCAGAGAAGCGGCGGACCACATCGTCGGGTCTAGAACAAGTGTCCAACTGGTGTGTACGATCTTGATAGCATCTCTCTTTGTAATCCTGGAACCAGGTTTAGCAGCCTCACAACACCACAAAGTCAAGTCATCCTCGAAATTTCCGCTTGCAGTGCTCTTCACGTCATCTCGCCGTCCTCTCCAGGGAACGTTTCTCTGCCCTGATTATACAGACAGTTGTATGGCCTCTGCAGCACAGTCAGTACCAAGTACGTGAGGATGCCACTCGTGCCAGCGTACCCGGCCTTCTGTTTCATAAATCACACGTCCCCTAAGCTTGGACCAGACCCTTCCCTTCCTTAGAAGGAACAAACGTAAGCTATGAAGAGTGCCTGCCAACTATGGACGTCTTTGTTGTGCTGTGCACGTGACGGTCTCGACCCCAACACAAAAACACCAGACAGGTTCTGATGCCCAAGAGTCAAGACCTTGCCCACGACTTTCCACTTTCCCCTCGGACTATTCCTACGACCAAAGACACCATTTTTCTTCCGTATTTCATTACTTACCATTTGAATCTCTGTCTAAGGGTATTGGAACAACCAGGGCGTCCCATTCGTTCTAACCTGATCGACTCGAAGACAATATCGATAACACTCACCTGGAAAAAGGAGACTCGTTCAACAATGGATTATTGGCGTGAAGCGAACTCTGTTATAAATAATGAATCATCATGGGTGTATAAAAGCAAAAGGAAGCGCAATCTACACTCCAGGCTACTGTATGTACCATCGACATAAGCTGTTTGAAGAGATGTCAATAACAGCGATGCAGGTTATTCGATGTCCACGGTTTTTGCCCCGAATCTGGTTGGGTGCCTGACCCTTACCCGCCGCCGCTATTCGAAATGAAGAAATTAAAGCTTTGTATCTCTAATATGGCTTATAAAAACCCAACCGCAGACATTGATAACCTGGCGCAGCAGCTGCTGAGAGACGTATCATCTGCCATGACAGATGACGCCGACTCCGGTTCCAAATCCGACTCCGACTTCGAATCCGACTCTCCTCAGGATAGTAATTCCGTATGTTTTCGGGTTTTGCGGCATGATCTGAGGTGCCATAAATATTGAAACTATTTTTAGTCTCTGCTCCATCCTACCCTTGTTTTCGCAGCACATGATATCGGCGGCACAGTATTAAAAAGAGTAAGAAGCAATTGAGATATTACATCGCCTCCTTGAAGAAGATGAATGCAGAGCGTTTGCTAATCCTTCACGCCTCATCTCGCTTGCAGGCTCTTGTCATGGCCTCGAGGAACCTTGAATACAAAGACATATTACAGAACACTTCACTGGTGGTATGCCCCCATCCCACCAATATGGCACGAGTTCAAACACAGTATGGAATCTTAATAACTCAAATGAATTCATTCTGCGCTTGTTTAGCTCTTCTTCGGCACCGCACACAGAGCTTCAGATGCTCTACCGTGGGGCCACACACTATCTAGGATGCTGCGTATCTGTTTCACTAGGAAATATGGCACTTGGGCCCCCGACTTTGTGCGCCAACTCTCTACCTTGCATGAGAAACTGGCTGAAGATTTCGGCTCTATTGGTGGCCAGTTTCAGATCGTTAATATCTTTCAAAATAAATCTCAATCTGCCAACTATGAAACTGTGAGAGACAAACCCATTTGCTCTTAGGGGCCTCATAGCTGATATATGTGGTATGGTCTAATTCCTTGCAGATAGTCGATAAATTCGCTGCGACTTTGGATCGAGACAACGAGATTCAGATCGGTGTTGACGCAAGCTTTACTATGATGGGCGATGCTTGCGTGCCCGAGCTCCGCAAGGTTACGACTGACTTGCTCATCAATGCACTGACTAGTTAGACTCCCCATTATCTTTACGACACTACCACGTGCATACTGATATAATGGGATTATTAGGGAAGTGGAAGGACTATGTGACTGGTATGCGATTGCTTTCCCGAGGCGACTTGGAAACTGGAAACCGTCCAAATTCCAAGCCAATATACAGGCATCTCTGCGACTGGATTCTATCGAAACCTGTGCTTGAAGATTGGGTGAATTCAACAACCCGACACTTACAGGTCCTCACGGTTAATCCAACAGTGGACCAGACCTCATTCCTGAGCTCAATTACTGCGTCCATTCAGGATATGAGGAAGAATCAAACCGGTATTTTTATCACCGCTTCCTATGATCAGCTTGGAAAGGGAACTTACAAACGTGCAAAGCTTCTGGCCTCTCTAGTATCACAAATACTCTATCGGTGCCCGCGCTTGTTTCTTGAAATTACAAATTACCAGGATGAACTGAGGAGTGCTATTTGTAGATCCAATATTACTTGGATTGAGTGGCTCTTGTGGAAGAGTCTCGAGACCCTCCTATGCTGTTCTGCAACTAACCAGATCTTCTGCATCATCCATCAGTCGCAGCAGCCAAGATCTCTTGATTGCCATGAGTCATTTATTGCAGACCTAGCGGCACTGAGTGAATTAAAGGAAGTTCCGAGCAAAATCCTGATCATAGGAAATGCTGTGTCTGACACAATACCCGAGAAAACGACATCTCATGCTGAAGTCAACCTCGGGGAAGCAGAAGCGCATGCTGAACTGCGAAAGGACCTCGAACGGCAACTAGACCTCGTGGGCGAAAGAAATCGAGGTTCATTTCCATTGAGAAGCACCATTCTGGACCGCATCTTTATGGGATCAATAGATCTCCGGCGCACCCGCTATTTTCTTCGGTACATTGAACATTTACCAATTCTCACCGAAGCAGCCATGAAGAAGGCGTTGCATCAGTTTTTGACAGACAACAGTGCGTTTTCGGCGATTTTGGAGCTGGTTCCGCCAAGTTCTCGATTATTGGTAAAAGATGCGTTATCCTGGATTGTGCATTCCATGCGGCCGCTAACATGCGATGAGCTACGGGTAGCGTTGTCCATCCCAGGCTGCGATGATGATGACGGTGACTCTCGAAAGACGGGCAGAGTTTCACCTGACGCTGCGGCAGGGCTTGAGAATATCCTCTGTGGTGTGGTAGAAATCGATAACAACACCATCTACCTAACACACGAGAATTTCGGGGCGTTTCTCGACCATCCCCATCCTGAAATGTCCTGGTGCAGAATGGGCCATACTGCCCATTCTGACATCGCTCGGCGTTGCTTGACATATTTGTCTCACCACCTCGGTGCTCACCCACATGGCCAGGAAACATCCTCCAACACAGTTGGGGCCAAGTCTGCCATGGAAACTCAGAAATGCCCTTGTTGGTGTAATTTTGGTGGTGTAACGGGTGAAATACCCTTTCTCGAGTATACAACTCAGAACTGGCACAAGCATCTCCAACTAGGCCCGCTCGAAATGGATGAACAAGTCAGAATCTTCCTTGATATTGATAAACAATGGGAAAACTGGGCGACATCATTATTACGCCATAGAGGTGTCGCCAATGACAGCTTTCGACCAAATCGAGTCTGTGCACCGACAAACCTTCATGGTATGCTTGGAATTCCACTTGCTCAAGCCGTTGATATCGCGATACGAGCCATCTCGCTGCCACATTTCGAACAAACAACCGAGTGGTCGTTGGTATTCTTGGCTGTTGTCCAAGGTGGCGATATCTCAACGATGTTGAATGTCCAGGAGGTAATGAACGAACCGAACAAGGAATCAACACTTATGGAGGCGTTCGCAACTGGGTCCGACGATACCTTGTGCGAGCTGTGTAAGCTTCAACCGGACTTTGTTCGCGCCAGGTTCGACATCATTCTTTCCCATGCAGCCAAACTTGGGAACAAGCGCCTGATGGAGTTTCTCTTGGGTGAGAAAACTCATAGCTGGCCTAGACATGTCGATACGTCCGGGCTAACCCCGTTATATGAAGCTGTGAAATGGGGTCATACCATCATGAGCAAGAGACTCTTCGATTGGTACAGGTCTAGCCCTAATTTTCAACTCACCGAGCCTGGCCAGGATCAATCTATTCTACACGTCGCCGCGCGACATGGAGACTCAGGCCTCATAGCAATGATATGTACTGCGGGAATGGATATCAATGGCCTTGACTCCGCTAACATGTCCCCGTTGTATCTTGCAGCAAGACATGGACATGTCGATGCTGTGAATCGGCTTCTGAGTGCTCAAGCGAACACCGATAGTGCGGATCTGAATGGTGACACTGCTCTACACGCTGCAAGCCGTCGTGGATTCTGTCAGATTGCTTCAGCTTTGATTCGCTACGGCGCGAATGTCAATATGGCAAACATCGAAAGAAATACAGCCCTACACGTGGCCATTGATAGTGGTCATGCGAATATTGCTCTCTGCCTTCTCGGGCTAGATGAAAATACTGCCGATGTTCAAAATGATCAAACATTATGTGGAGGCAAAGGGAATGCCCCTCCTGAGGAATATGCCTCCAATGCCGCGAGATCCGAAGACGGCGCTTCGAAGAGCGTTGACGGAGATCCCGTTACTCTGCCGGCTGCAACTACCAGCACCATCTTTGGAGAGACTTCTCTTGGGCTAGAAGAGACTAGCATGGCGAGACCGTCCACAAATGGGAGCAATACTCCATGTCGCTCGAGGGTCACCATGGATGTTAACATTGAGCCTCCTCTCCTCTTGCTTGCTACGAGAGGGAATCATCTCAAAATTATCGACGCACTGCTCAAGTGCAAGGTGTCATGTGACAGTAGGGATGAATTGGGTAGATCAGCACTTCACATTGCTTCAGAGTATGGGCATTACGAGGTTTTCCGTCAACTTGTTGAAAATGGAGCCGACGTTAATCTCATAGCCCAACATCATACCTCTGTACTTCATGAAGCATCTGGGAGAGGCCACACCGACATAGTTGAGGGACTGCTAGATAAAGGCGCAGATGCGGGCCTGAAGCATATTACACGCGTGACAGCACTTCATTTTGCCTGCAAAGGTGGCTACATCAAGACTGTCCAAGCTCTGCTACCACGTTCCACTAAGCATGATCGCGAAAAGGCTCTTCGTGTCGCTGCGGAATTCGGGTGGGTGGGTATCTTGGTCCTCTTACTAGACTCGGGCACAGACAAGGATGCCAAAGATGGCCAGCTCAACTGTGCTCTTCACTTGGCCGCAGCCTTCGATTATCCCCGGGTTGCTGAAGTGTTGCTTCGCAGAAGAGCGAGGTTGGACATGAAAAATTCCTACGGAGAGACACCATTGCATCGGGCCGCGAGGAATAATTCTCTCGGAGTAATGCAGTTACTTATATCCGCGGATGCCGACATGAATGTGGAAGACAATGCGGGTAGGACCTCGCTCTTCCTTGCGGCCGCCGAAGATTGCCCCGAGGCTGTCCGATTACTTTTGGAGAATGGTGCCAGTCTAATAATCCCACGAACCTCTAAGTATGACGATTATAAGAACATCTTGGATCTCTCACTCGACAGATTCAGCCCCAACGTTACCAAGTTGATACTAGATCGCTGCATGGAGTTGAATTATCGCATTTCTACCTTGGTCTCGTCTGAGATGCTTCAATGTCTTTCGACAGAGTCTGGAAAAGACCTCGCCAAGATACGAATCGTCTTAGATAGCAATCTAGACCCGAACAAGGTCATTGGTGACATAGGGACCATCCTTCATTATGCTGCTTTCCACGGTAGCTTAGATGTCGTCCAACTCCTCCTGGAGTCCGCAGACAGATTGGATTTGAACATCATCGCAGGGGAATCTGGAACGGCTCTTCAAACTGCAGCGTGTTCAGGGACAAGACATGCTCCAGAAATCATCCGTCTCCTCCTAGAAAACCAGGCCAACCCGAGAATAGTCGGTGGTCCCTTTGGGACAGCACTACAAGCCGCAGCCATAGCATCAAACTTCCACGGCAAAGATTCAAATACAATCGCGTTAAACATCGCCAGGCTTCTCTTACCCCACGATGTTGTCAATCTTGTCGGCGGCAAACATGGTACAGCACTTCAGGCGGCAGCCTGTGATGGAAGCATCGAGTTCGCCAAGCTCCTTCTCAAGGACGGCGCGGAAACGCATACTGTCTGTGGCCTCTACGGCACAGCTCTTCATGCTGCGGTCGCGAAATCTGCCAGCCTTGAGATGGTGAGCCTGATCCTTGAACAGACCAACCTGGGCCCGGACCAGCAAGATATCGAGGGTCGCCTGCCTTTACATCTTGCTGCTGCTCACTGCACCCCGGGCCTGGTGAAGCTACTTACCAAGGGAGAAGCAAATTTCCGAAGCGTCGATAAGTTTGGCAGAAACGCTCTTCACTTTGCCGCAGGGAGCGGATCAATGATCGTAATAAAGATGATTCTTGGCAGCCACCCTGATTTGATCCACGTCCGGGACAACGATGGTTGGTGCCCAATCCACTGGGCATGTCGAAACCACTCCACGTCTTCCGGTTTAGTTTCTTTCCTGCTACAGCAGGGTGCTGATGGCCTCGCAAGGACCAAGAGTCACTGGACGCCGTGGCATGTGGCAACTTACCACGGCAAGTCTCTGGCAGCCCAGGAGCTAACAAAACCCCGTAGCGATGCAAAGAATAATTACCCCATCAGAGGAAGAGGACTGAGAGAGTTGACGGAGCTCCCAGAAGCCGCAGCTCGTTCTACAGTGTCATCCTGTGACAGCTGCTTTTGTGTAAGTGCATGCGCCTACCCATGTCAGCTCAATCCTTCCATTAAGCTTACCATAGACTGGGATTTACAGCGAATCCTTGGAAAACTGTACAAGTGCAATAAATGCATTGACACGCGTTACTGCTTCAAGTGCTATGAAGGAATGGGTACAGACATGCATTATCCAGAGCATAAATTGGAGGAAGTGAAGGACATATAGGTTTGAACCAACGTCCGATGCTTGACCGTAGGTAGTGGCTTGTATAAATAGAGGATATTAAACATAGTCAGCCCCTGATTCTGCCTATAGAAGCTCTGGTGTTCAACTGCGTGTGAATGGACGGCGTTTTGCTCGTTGTAGAAGTTTCGGCGTGTACCTTGGAGTCTTATGCGTGGCGTCTTTGCAACCGTTTGCGACCATTTGAGCCGAAAATCCAAACTAAATGCTCAAATATACACAAACTTGGGCTCCTAGACTCGGCAGCTCCGTTTGTCTGTAGACGAGCTGAATATTTGCCGACGCTGTGTCATGCTTCCTGCGTAACAACAACAGGGGCAACGTGATTTCCGTGTAACACTATCCCCTTGAAGTTGCCTCAGAGGTGGGAAATTAGGCAATTTCCTGCCCCTTTATACCTGGAATCTAATAAGCGAACTTTCACTGGGTAAAAATACAGGATGTCTACAAGTAATAGGTATATAAGGTTTTATCTAAGGCACTGGAAGAAGTGTACCATTTTCCGTTGCTTAGTCTAGTTGAATCGTGACACAAACAAAAGGATTGAAATGGAACTACAATTTATTCAGAGTTGAGCTTGAGTTCTGGCTACAACTGTTCAAGCTCAGATCCAATGTCATTTTTGTCGCAATGTAGTTGTATCTGGCGGCTCTGTCCCGCGAGTCCTTCGGCCCCGGCCCATATATGGCTTAACAGGTTGTTCCATCATCCTCTTCAATTCCAGCGCCTTTTGCTGGTAGTTTAATTTTTCCTGTATCTCAACTTGAGCCACGTTTTGCCCTTGGTTATTTTGCCGTGTGGCATCTGCTCCGGCAGCAAGAAGAGCCATTTTCAGCTCTTCAGCCCTTGGGATCACTCGACAGGAATTCCCCAGCCAATGATCTGACAGCGTCCATTCTGGAAACGAAACTGCGTAATGGAGCGGCGTGCAAGCGTCATTGTCGCCAATATTCGGATCTGCTCCAATTTCGAGCAGCAGCTTCGTGACGTTTACAGCGTGGACCTCGCACGCTCTAAGAAGGGGCGTGCGCCCAAGATTGTCTTTTGCGTCAATGTCAATGTTTTTCCTGTATGCCTTGAAACACAGGGACGTGCTCTCAACTGGAAACGCGCAATCTCTTGGGTGGTTACCGCTGGTTCCGTTGACGAGCAAATGAAGCGGCGTACATCCTTTGTGGTCTCTAAGATTGACATCCGCATCCCGAGATATGAGAAAACTGTGAAGCTCAGACATCAAATTTGAGCAAGCATAGTGCAACGGTGTCCGACCAAAAGAATCTTGGGCATTGATGTCTTCCAGTCCGTTGTCAAGCAGATAGGTGGCTGCCTTGACGGCGAAAGCCGGCGCAGGATTTTCCTGTACGTCAGGATTCTCCGGAATCCCTCCGTAAAATATTTCAGATGGCGAAGCCCATTTGTACTCTTGGTCTGACAACGCCAGCCAGTGTAGCGGTGTTCGTTTGTATTGGTCGGTTTGCTGCTTCAACCCCCTGGATAATAGATGTTTCACCACCTCGGCATTTATATAAAATGCCGCGATGTGAAGATATCCAACACCGTCTCCTCCCCATTTATCCGGCCCGGGGCGACAACGGTCTGTGCTCTCGTGGAACTTCTCGTCCAGATCATGGCCGGACATGTCAATCAAATGGGAGACCAGCTCTTTGCTGGCCCATTTACATGCTCCATATATCAGAGTTTTATTGGAGTGAGGATCCCTTATGTTGGTTTGTGCTCCTTTCTCAAGCAATTTCCAAGCAACGCGTTCCCTTCTCGCGGTGCTCTCGTCCATTAACCATGCCCGTTGGCGTCTATCAGTGTGCAAGAAATAGCCACGTATGCTGCTGGAAAAGACTGCTTCTGTGAGAGCAGTATATCCGCGTTCTGAATCCGATGGAGCGGAGCAAGCTGCACCCCAAGCAGTGAATGTAGGTTGAACTCTGCGATTAATCAGCTTTTCTGCTCCTCTCTTGAGAAATTCCAGAAGACAGTCTTCATAAGCATTGCGTGCTATAGTGTGTAGTGCTTCAATGTAATCATCAATCGCTTCGCCTTGGGAGAGAGCATAGTCCAGAAGCCATGCAAGCGACTGGTGGCCACCAGCCTTTGCGGCAATCTCAACAGCTGTGACCAACTTCTCTTGAGCTGTGAGGCATTGGCCGAGTGGATCAGCTCCGGCGCAAGACAAAAGTCGTATTATAGCGGCACTGTCTTGACGGTAGCAAACATCGCCAATCAATGTGCCTCTTTCCTCATCACAAACGGTTGCACCACGTTGGACAAGTAGTTCAACTATTTTGATGGCTTCATCGGGTACGCTGTCAGTATAACGATGGCCCTTTCTGTAACTACATGCGTATACTGCAAATGAAAGAAGTGGTTCCGTTTCCTTTCGTAGCTTCGCACGTTCTGGAGAGCATGGCCATGTGTCAAGCTTTATCCAGCCGAGTCTCCAGCTGCGATAACTTTCTGCAAAGTCCACCACGTTGCTGTTGACCAAGTGGCGGTTTTCGTCCAATATACGAGTGACTGTTTCGACATTCTGATAAAATACGGATTGGACTAGGTCACTGGAAATAGTTTCGTCGTCTAGGCATACTCGAATCTCCGTTTCCGAGGTGTTTGATCGCTGTGTGTCGGAGTGATCAGAAGAAGAGGCTAATGCAGGCTGAAATTTCTTGCAAGGTTCCATGTCGTCTATCGCACATCTTTCACCGATAAATGCGACCGAAAAATGAGGATGCAACTCCCAAGGTTAAGACTATCTGCAGGAAAAGTATGGAGAGACGACCCGCTAACTCCCTATCTAATTATGCAATGGTTCCCACAGATATCCTTTGGATACGCAGGAGGCTGCGTACGCATAAAACGATATGGAATGGCTGGGTAGACACATTGATTTTGGCAGGGTAAAGCGTCACTGGGGATATTAAGGTGTCTGGTGGGTTAATCTAGCGATAGTTTAAATAAAGGCCTATAACACCAGCCGTGAGGTGTAACCCTAACCCTAACCAGCGCCGTAGTACAACTCGGGGTCGAATATGTCTTGCTGTTGGCGCTTGGGTGGCATGGACTAGCCAATATCCATAACACCTCTCTCAGAATGAATGAATTATACTACGCTTTCCTCGAATTTCATGATAGCTCTCACGACAAAACCATAGCATTAATAAGTTCAAGAGTCTTAGGTGAAGTGTGACTTGACAAAAGTAATGGTTCACCAGGAGAGCAAGAGCTTTCAAAGGAGCCTTAATTCGAGCTATTTAAATCCTTACAGGGACACCAGCCACACGGCCCCCGTAGCAATTGCCATGCAAAATACCTCTCTTCCACAGATTGTTTGGTATTCTAATTGTAGTCGCTGATTCATTTGAAGGTCTTTAGACTACATTAGATACCTGGCAGATTCTGATATTTACCCGGAAGGCGGAGGATCGTGAGCCTCCAAACAGGCCTTGGTATCCTTGAACCCGAACAGGAAGTCGGGTCTCGGCTTTATCTTGTCAAACGCTTCACAGTATACTTGGGTACCACAGCTGGCATCATCGTAAATTGCCCACGCTGGATTACCCCCGAAACCGGATCCACAAGAGTCAGGTCCGGTCTTCGGGCTCGGGGCCTTGATCCACGGGAGCTTAGGCGCCGGCTCGTGGGCGTCGAAACACTCTTTGGCGTTCTTGAAGAAGCCTGTTTTCGGTTCTTGGGGTGCTGCGTCGAAAGCATTACAGTATTTCTGACTGCCACACTTCCACTCACTATACTCTGGATCACCACACTTGCCCGACTTTTTCGGTTCAAGAGTCCATGGAATTCTCTTGGGGGGGAAGAGAGAGTTCGGTCCGCCCTTGTCCAGCCCATTGCTCGCAATAAGGCCCGTTGTATCCGGTGCGTTCCACTGGACCCGAGCCCCGGACTGCTCGGCGATGTCTTTGAGTCGGGCGGCAACTTGGCTGGGTTGGGTGATACCCTCGAGTGACATTATGTACGCAGCTAAGCCGGCGACATGCGGAGCAGCTATCGGAATCAGGTCAGAGCCTTGGAAGTCCCAAAAGGAAACTGAACCCCTGTGAAGTGTATGTATCCAGGAGTACTTACCTTGACTGGTGCCGGCGAGTGTCACCGAGGCGGAATCTGAATCTCGACTTGCACTGGTGATGTCGGCGCCAGGAGCGTACAAGTCGACTGCAGGACCGTAGTTTGACTCCTCCCAACGAGAATCGGACCTATGGTTCATTGCCGCGACCGTAATAACGCTAGGGTCCCTGCCAGGAGACGCTATGCTCGCATCACTCTAGAGTTTATAAATTAGTTAGTTGTCTTCATATTGGTTGCCATGCTTATCCTTTAGGAACGAAATTGGGAGAGGGAACGTACATTGCCATTACCAGCACTAACGACGCACACAATTCCCGAATCTACAATACGCTTGAACATTTTGTCGATATCATCCGAGGCGTGAAAAGACATAGACATGCTAATAATAGCTTTGCCAGTAATATTTTTATCCTCAACGTCCTTAAGGACAAAGTCTAAAGCTTTTTCCAGCTGGGGCTTCTTGGGCTGCAGTTTAACAGAAACAATCTGTACCTGCTTGGCAACTCCGTACTTGGCACCTCCGATAATAGCGGCAACATGGGTTCCGTGGCCATCGCTGTCCCCTTCCTGTATATCCAAGTTAGCGAATCGCGACCGTGGTTGATAGAGTAGAGGTTATATATCTTTGAAAGGTGGACATGTATTTACCCCTTGATGAAAAGCGAACCCTGCGCCAAAGGTAGCACGCCCTCCGAACTCTTCGTGCGTCAGTCGAATGCCCCCGTCAAGAACGTAAACAGTAATGCCTTGGCCCGCTGAACGATCATATTCGTAGGTCCGGACATTTTCTGTCTGGTAGTGTGAGAGCCGGATCAAGTTGCCAGGGGCATTCTGTTGTGAGGTTAAAATATCTCTAGAGCCTTTGACGTCGACGTCAGTAGAAGCGACTTGGTTATTGTCAGGGCTCGGTATGGTAGGAAGTCTTGCCGCCAGGCAAGTCGAGAAAAGAAGCCCACTCAGGGCTCGACGCAGCTTCATTGTGGTAATAGCTCGAGTACAGAACCTAAATCTTTGACTTGTATCTAAGCTTTGCTGGATGGCTTAATAGAATAATACAAGTGAGAATGAAGGAATATGCAAAGAACTTTGGATACTTATAAGTTGTCACAGGGCGAGGGTTACACATAGAGCAGATGTTTAACTTGGGCGAGAAGCACACCACAATCCCAGTCACCTTGGACCCCCGTCATCGTAGACAAGAAGGACCAAAATAGTAGAGGCCCACTTGTGCTTCATAGCATAAACGTAATTTTGTTTCTTACAGGTTGCCCTAGTCTTTATACCCTGCTATATCCGAACTGGTACGGGTTCGACGTAGCTTGACATGAAGCTAGACGTTAAAGTAGCTCAAGGCAGCAGCTAAGCTATACAGAGGCTCCATATTGCATTGACAGCGGCTCCGTCGCATACTGGCTCCAAGTGGCCGGTTGGGCTGGGGAGGTGTTGCCCGGTAGCACCAGCTCTGGAGACATTAAGCTGTCTGGTGTCATTCCGCCCACTCGGGCACTGTGAAGGACTTCATTATTCAGCATGCCAATAGGGAAAAGATGGCGTACCGCAGCACAGGGCAGAGATGTGGATTGTGGATTCGGTTGACTCGTCCGTCGTACATTCGTGTTGGCAAGGCACAAGTAGCAACGGACCCTCATTAATGATTAGACCATCCGACTTGATCTGCCTGCGAGGCAGCCCAAGCCGAGCATCCATGTGTCGGATATCGAAACCTCAAAATCGGACAAGGTCGTCGGTTTTTCACAATGCGGTGACGCGGCATTGTAGATATCATCGGCTCCTAGTCTTGGGGTTGCATCAGACATGGTCCCTTCTTGCAGTTCCGCCGCTTCAACAAAACTGTTCACACGATGAATATCTCGTTTATTCCATCATTCATTGGGTCTTTAGATAGTCCACACCCTTGATTCAATACAGGTGCGCTACTAGCTGACATCTGAAGCTTTTGAGACCCCACAACTACCTAATAACTGTTGATCTGTTTAGCACCCAAAGTGCCGATCCGTCGGGTGCCGTAGCCGACACCGTCGTGACTTGTCATTTGGCAGCGCACATGACATTTCTGCGAGGGAATCGGGCATCGAAAACTTGGTCTGACCACATGTGCAGTCAATTAGATAGCTTGCCAGGGTTCGCCACAGCTAGCCGGAATGGATACATGATTTGAAGGGGACGCACTATAGGCGTAAAATTCGGTCCAAAAGATTTCAAGATAAAAGCCTTAATTAGGGCCTGCTAGAGTGTGGTCGTTATTGTTAAGTATTCTAGTGGTAGCATTTAATTTAATAACATTGAAGTTAATATGTATACTCCATAATACCAATTTATTAATAATTTTATTTATTAAAAAACAGGTACTCTTGCCTCACGATGTGTGGGGCGGTGGGGCCCCCACCAGCCTCCGTGTGTTTTATGAGATTTATTGACCAGACATTCTAACCAAATAAGCATACATGTAATAGAGAATATGCATGGGGGCTTGCTGCTTCAGCGATTCCGTGTGGGAGATGAACCCAAGAGTAACGAGAGTCAGGTAGGTCAAGGTAGGCAGTGTGTTATGACAAGACTTCAGCTTGGTCTTCTTAATCCACGAGCGAGTTACTGTCGTTCATCTCCACCTTAGTGGTTTGGTGAGAGGTGCTGTACGTGTCTGCACTTGACATACATGTATATTCGGGTCAACTCAAGTGCTGTTTTAGGTGAGTAACTGTCAAGTAACTTACAAGGGTATTGGTAAATCCGGGTAAAAATACCAGCTCCCCGTACCTGATATCTACAAGTAACACTTTTTACTTAATTATATACCCCCTTACAAACGTCCCGCTTTATTTGAAACCCGCGGACACATATCTAATTAGAGGTCAACTGGATTTGAGGTGAGAGGTTGACCGAGCAGTTGGGTGCAACTAAAGCTAACAGATAACGACATGAGAAAAACTTGCGTTGGAAGCTGCGTCAATAAGACGACAGGCCGTCCGTCTATTGCGGCTGCCGCAAATCCTTGAAGAGACCAGAAAGTATCCATCAAAGACCGCATAATTGGCAGCATAATACGGACGCAGTCACTTCGCTCGGCCAGGTGGGCGCGGGTTATTGCTCATCCATCATATTCGGTAGCGTAGTTTGGAAGATATATCATGTTCCAGGCCCATATATGGGCCACATTCTAATAATAAATTGAATGTCTCCAGGCTAGGCCTGCTTTCAGCCCAGCCGTCATCCATGTCGCCTAACTGCCGAGTCATCACCCTGATGCGGTACCCAGACGACCCTGATCCCAGCCTCCACCCTGGCTGTGCTATCTTCAAAGACCATAGAGTCAAGTGTAATTCAGCTTTACTTGGACAGTGATGGATTAGAATTTGGAATGGAGATCCGAGTAAACATGAAGTTGCGTTGTCTAAACCTAGGACGTTTATTTCTAGAGACTCACAGTAATGAGACATGATCATCCCAAATACCTACCTAGGTAGGTATCGACTTAACCTGACCACATTTTAGAGAGAAGTGAGAGAATCTAGCCAATAGCAGGCTGCATTCCAACTCCAAATCCCTGTGTAGTCCTACCTGAAGCACAGCTAACCTATATTGTCGGCGAAATGAAAATCAGACCATGTTTTGACATGGCAGTTTAAGCCGGCAATTTATTTTCTGATTCAGGGCATAATCACACAATGTGAGACGAATCTTTCCTGCCGATACTCTAGGAAGGGACGGTGACACCAATGGAGGACGAACAGCTTGGTTGGTGGACTGAGCGGTTCCTGTCATGCCCAAAAAAATGTTCGGCTCATTCATGTTGACCAAAGTTCGTTTCTGGCGCAGACCTCTCTGTGGAATATTGAACTCGTGGCTGAGCACCGTGCTGTTACTGTAGGTCGTAGGTACCGCCCTGTTGAACTGTTCTTCGCTGGCAGCCACAGCCGTCACATCAAATGGTTGTGGGCTGCCGCTGTGGAGGCATCACCGACCTCTACATGTACTGATCCATTTGGGGCCAATTGCTCAGCGATGCTGCGTCTTCAGGAGAACGAGACATGGTCTGACCACAGCGGCAACAGCACATTATTTTGATACAAGAGACAAGGCCGTTCGTGAACTGCTACGTTGACAGGTAGTAACTTGGATCCTCATGGCGGCTATGGCGACACTACGACGTCCCAATACGTGAACACGAATGCGCAGCTTCGCATATGAGGGTGTCCCCTCTATGCAGCACGTCCAACTATCGGGCATCATTATGGCATCAACACACTTGCGTGGACATGGTGTCCTCAGAATCGAAAAGAATGTGATGGAAGCGACTGGTGTAAGTCACCGGTGGTCAACCCTTTGTTCCACGATGTGCATCGTAGTCGCCTATGACGAAGCGATTGACAAACTCTAGTGCCTTGATTCACTGTTCTTTGGCAATCAGTTCGAGTACAGTACCAGGTATGGTTTTTTGAGAATTCAAGTAGATGGTCCACCACCCTGGTTGTGCGTCTGCCACGGACTCCAGGTCAAACACCAATGCCGGCTGGAATCAATTGTTCAGTTGAGTTTTTCTGCTGCCTGATGCTACTGTAACCCGTCCAAGATGCAAGTTCATTGCAATGTGTATTAATACCTCCTGGTATGTAGATGCAGGACCGACAGCGCGTCGGCTCACAGCTGCGATGCGTGCCAAACAGTTCACCGTCGCCTTTGACGTCACTTGAGCCTCTGTAACTGTGGATGCTTGGAGGCAACTGAGGGCAGTAGCACAGACGGAGGCGTGGCTTGATATGCCGAAGACAGGTGAGGTGTTTAAGACTGCGGATGACAGTCTCCGGAGACTTGATACGTATGCTCTCATCACTCCAAGATTACTGCAAAAAACGAGGGCTAGATCCTCGAGTCGTGAGAGACACAGACTCTGGCCAAGTCATTAGTAATCGTCAGAGGGATCGAAACGATTGATGCCAGATACGTTCATGCTGCCGTGCCCGTTCACTGCGCCCCTCACAATCGGCTGTCCTTTTCTGGGAGACGCAGTCGTCCGAGTTTTCCACCTCAATTGTTGCGGGTTGGAGACAATTACTCGGGCAGGCAATCTCCTCAACTTCCCTCCTGTGACTGCTTATGGATGGATAGCTTTTAACTCGATCTCAGCATGTTGGATCAGTCAGTTTCAAAAGTTCGCCGTGGGGCCAGGGATGGCTGGATCACCTCCCAACTACATATGTACCAGACATGTACCTTGAAAGGCAATGCCCCTCAACTTCCGAAATGCGTCAAGTATCTCTGACCTCTACGCGCTCGCTGACTTGGCCCTGTCAAAAGGGTCAACTGCATGTTGGTCAAGGCAAAGTCCTGGGGTCAACCAACGAACAAATGAAATTGTGCCACCAGACTTCATAGCAGGCTGCCTCAGCCTCCGCCCTCACTACTCCGCAGTTGCCTGCAGGCTGCGCTCTCTCGACTGGATCTTTCTCACAGGTGCTCGGGTGCCGTAGTGCCGTTGTTGAGGGTTCTGCTGGTTTGCCCGTGTATTTGATGGTCTGGTGTATGGTGCATTTGTGCCAACATGCAGCCAGCCTGTAGTACATGTTCAGGCTGCACTTTCAATGTTGGTTTCTAGCCCCACCACACCCCGTATCGCAGCTGCTGACTTCGGGTGGCTTCAGTACACGCCCCAGACTTGACTCTACTTGGCTGCAAATTTAGCAGCTTGTAATAGGATTCTTATTGGCTTAATATCCCTTCAAGTACAAAAGTGCAGCCTTAACACAACCAAGGGGATAACTGATCATTGGCAACATGCATGTGTGCTTAAATTTTGAGGACCCTCACATGGGTATGTGGGTGAACATCATTGGCTCTCTTACGCAGTGCTCTATTATTGCGCTTTGCCCATGCGATAGCTCATCAGCAAGTCCTCTCATCCTCGCCACGTCATTTACTCTACCATTGGACATAAGACAAAGAGGGGCTTGATAGACCTGCGCTTGCCTTATTACGCATGGCATTATGTATTACGATGGCAGATGCATATATCAGTGGAGCTGGCGAACGACAAGGAGGCTCAAATGGCTGCAATGGCAATGTATAAAGCCATCAGCACATGCTCACATCCAGTCTCGAAGTCAACTTTTTCATCACCATTTTGTTTCAAGCATATGAGATATTATCATACTTCAACTCCATTATAGTGTGTGCACTTGTTAGCAATGCCTTTAAGTCTCTATGGTCAGTGTAACAATCCTGTGTACTGCGATCAAACAAACATCAAACGAGGAGACGAGTGTCCCAAATGTGGCCATGTTCGCGAATAAAAGTGTAAGTGGGCTCTACTGTGACGATGCTCGGTTTTAGTTGACCTTGACTCTACTAGTATGCCTATCCTTCGCCGGTCCTTCGGTGGTCGACGTTGAAAGGATTGGTCAATGTCACACGGAAATGGCGTTGGTTACACAAGGGCTACGGTCACGGGATTAGGGCGGAAGGTCCTCACCGACTTCTTGTACAAATAGACGGCTTCGGTCCCTCAAGGCCTTAAGGAAAACCAAGGACCTTTGATACCAAAGACTGTTATTAGATGAATTGAGTAAATTGCTCCAAGCCCTATAATTATAGCCCTTGTCACAGTCAAGCACGCTTGTCCGCTCAACTGAGTTAGAGAGAATGTAAAGGCAACGCGATTCATTCATTACAACTGCGTTAGGTAGACTTTTTCAGTCCGATCTAGCACGGTATCAAATGACAGTGCCCTTCCCTCTTCATAAAATTGCATACACAAGCCAATGTCTCCAAGTATGCTTCCGAAAGTTTCCGAAAGTCTTGGTGACGCACTCGTGCCCATTTCCATGCAAGCAACATCTCCTACATATTGTTTCCCTTCTTCATTCAAGTCTAGGTTCGCATGTTGAGGATTGAACGAGGCGTACATGTTCATCCGCGCCGCAAAAACCTCAATGGGGGCTGTATGTGCAAATTCCCAATCGATCACTCCCACAACCTCGAAGCTATCATCTAACAGGAGGTTATGCATGAGAAAATCGGGGTGCACAATAGGATAGGTACGGGAACTTCTGGCGGGCATAAGGGTTTCGGTCGTTAATTTCAGTCGCTGCGGAAAGGATTCGGTGGCCCGAATTAATTTTGGGTCCTTGAGTTGATGTATGTTTTTGAAGCTTGCGTTGTGCGTCGTCCAAGCTAAGAAATAGTCCGCCATTGAGTCAAAAGGTCCTTTGAAGCCAAATTGAGCTGGGAGCGGGCCAATATCAATATCACCATTGGAGTTCAATACAAGAGAACCAAGCTTGTCTAAGGTGGCATTTGCTAGTTTGCACTGGAGAGGTCAGCCAACGGCAAATGAAGCTTAACGGGGTAAACAACCTGTATAGACGCTATCGACTTGCGTAACTTGATTCGTTGTTCTTCAGTAAGAACGTTTGGGCCACCAAGGTCATAGAGCATATTGCCTTCGATGCATTCCATCAATAGGTAAGGCAATCCGACGGGGTTTTTCTCTAGGCCTGTGTTGTAGGCAAACACTCTCGGGACGGGGATATCGGTGGACTGCGAAATAAACTTCATGGTTGCGATCTCGCTTTCCATTGTAAACTGTTTCTCGCTCGTCCATGGACCACATATGGTTGGGATGCGTGCCAGCCACAGCTCGCCCCGCTCTGTGAGCTTGATTCGGCGAACAATGTGACGACCACCAGCGTGAAAGTTTCCTTCATAGGCACTTGTCTGATCTCCACTAAGTTGTTTCGTCATGTCAAGCAAAGCGTCCCATTCCGTGTGGCTGTATGTATTATTGGATGGTTCATCGTTATGCTGCCCTGTCCATCGGAAGACAAAGGACGACGTCCGCCGTGGCGAATTGGTGGTATTCGAAACGGATCCAGGTGGCTCGTAGGATTTAGACGGGTTCCCGTGATCAAACCACGCCTTCGAAGTGTTGGCTGGTGAGTCTGGGCCCGAACCCGAGTGCAGAATTCGCGACCAATAGCATTCCGAAGATTTGGGAGGATCCCCGGACATAGTCGACCAGTCGTCCCAACTGTTGTATCCGCAGTCGCCCTGCGTTTTGCCCTTTTTCTTCGCGTCGGTTTCTGAGATACTGGCTCTACATCGATAGGAGACGAGAGGGCGTTGGGAGGCGTTCAAGAAGACTTGAAAGTCAGTAGTGACATATGTACGACGTAAAGGAGCTGGCGATGAGAGAGCAGGCCGATAGAGCGCGCAATGAAGAGTGTTTAGCAAAATGGACAAGAATTCAGGCAGGAAGAGGAAGAGGTTCAGCAAGCGGCCTTTACCTAACTGGATGCGAGTTTCCCTGAAATCCAAATTTGTAGCCTCAGGCAGCAACGATGGAGTTCAGGGAACGCGGAGGCGTTGAGCCTGGTCCCTCAGGTACGGCACGGTACGGATTTTATTTCGCCCGGAGGGACATCCCTAGAGGGCCTGGCTGGGAAAGCTATTTACGGCTCGATAAAGTTGGTACATGACACCTCAAACCCCACGCTTTCTCTTACAATGGTTTACTTTCGCCTCGTCGCTAGTATTGATTTGTATTCATATAAAGTACATTGTAGAGGTCCGGCCTGTCTACCTACATAGACCCTCTACCTTGCTCCCCTTGGATCCGGTTCCGCCTTAGCTAGTAATTATAATATAATATTATAGGCTAAAGTAAATTAATCTAATTAAATAATACTATATTATAAGCTAATAATTATTATAATAATTATAAAAAGATTTTAATTTATTAATAATTATATTACTTATTTAGTTTTATTAGTTTTAACTTTTAAAAATTATAATAAATAACTTACTAGCTAGCCTACTTACTAATATTATATATAGGTAAACTTTCAGCGCTTAAATTATAATATCCGGTATACTTCAAAATAGCATCGACATTTGTACCGCTCTTGGCGTACTCGGATTTCTCCAGCCTATATATAGGTATGCTTTCAGCCCAGCCGTCGTCCATGTCGCCCAGCTAGCAGTCATCACCTATATTGTCGGCAAAACGAAAATCAGTCTATATTCTGACAAGGCAGTTCAAGCCGGCAACTATTTTCTGATGCCCCATTGTATTGAGACTGTGATCGCTTTGTCATTGATGGCGTCGCTTGGTGGCAACCTTGCATTAAATTCACACGCATTCGATGGCATAATCACATAATGTGAGACGAATCCTCCCTGCCCCTTCCAATAGTCGTGCGCAGGCCGCGACATCCTTGCCAAAACATGACTCAATACCGCTTCAAAGTTTAAGAGTCCCACAGATGGAGCATGTATGCAAATAGAGTGGTGGGAACGCACACGATGAAAACCCACCAAGCCCCCGTCTTTCGCTCAAGGTGAAGATTATTCATGTTAAAAAGGCTACAGCTGAAGCTGAGAGGTATTTGAACTATTGCAAGCAAAGTCAACTTCTTGAGTCTCACAGACTGCTCAATGGCTTTCATAGTTCTCTGGGCTTTCTTAATCGTGGACTTGTTGATCGGCAGAGCGATCCCACGATGCATATTTTGGACACGTCGATGCAACGAACAGGGTGTTGCTGATAGTCTTCTACTGGGGCATCTGATGTAAATGCATCATCGGGAGAACCGGAACTAACGTTTCGAACTGCCAACGCCTGGTAATGCCGACACCTGGGTGGCAAGCACATTTATGCAGCGGATTATGCGGTAGACTGTATTGAGTCATTGACTACTTCGCTCGGCCAAATCGACAAGTACAAGTAACGAGTTGTACAGAAGCGGCAAATGGGCCAAGCTAATTGCCGTTCTGGCGGAAAGAAAAGATGAAGGTCCGCGTAAAAGAAGACTAACCGGTCGCAGCCAATGGGTTTCAAAGGCAAACGCAGGACATGAATATGGGAGCTCAGGTCAAAGTAGTCGCGGTTCAAGAATCGTAAGCAGGTGCATTTCCAAAGCGCCGCCTATTACACAATGTAATGAGGGCCACAGAAAGCCCTTGTCTCTCACTCAAAGTGGCGTTCCAGCCTCAAGGTAACCGCAACACTAATATGCGAATTGACGGATTGGGTGACTAACCTTCTTTTCGAGTCTTTCTCTCCAAAACTCTCGATTTTGAAACCCTTCCTAAAGCCGGCTCCGAAGAGACCCGTTTCGCCGTCACTTGCAATAGAATAAAGAATTGGCATGGGAATTTCTTTAATAGATCTATCTCTTTTCGAAGGAGAATCGTGTTCTTTCTCAACCAGGCATTGTATCACGGCAGTGTTGTACTAGCCTATGTCACGGAACGGCGTTGGTACGATTTCCCCGCGTTCGTCGATACTCTACTCTGGCTTCAACCGCTAATACGATGCGAGTATTACACAAATCCAGAAAGTCTGGAGCTATACATCTAAACTGGCCTTTGCCTTTCTCGACAGGCCAAGTTGGCATTGAATCCTGGACGCTCATTGCCAAACTGGGCGGTTAGGGTATAGATTTAGCTCGTTAGCCCGGCGAGACCTAGACCAATGCAACTTGGCGGCGCCACGTACCCATAACCTCATATAGATCCAGTCATCTGACGGGTTGGGACCCTGTGGGGGTTGTGGGATGCGCTGCCGCCGAAGTTGGCCGATAGAACGTCGTTTGGCACATATAATAACTGGAGAACATAGCACCGTTGTTATTAGATGCGGAGTATTCCGGTACTATTCCTCAAAACAAGGTCTATCAAATCAACTCCTGATGCGGTAGAGTTCTGATACTCTACTTTATTTAGTAGCATTGAACCTTTTACCATTCCTGTCAACTCGAGGAATGCAAGGAGGCCCAACCCGGCCAACCCAAGGCACGGACCCGAATACCGGAGCGAAACCGCAAGACTTGGCTTTGACTCTCACGATTGAAACATGGCTTGCGGGGTCGGCCATCGGCGATAAATGGGTGATATCCTACACCAGACCCCGAACTCGACAAAGTTAAATATCATGTAGTAACCATCCGTTATTGCAGAGATTAGACACACAGCGTGGGTCTGAAAAGGAACCGCCTGGTACTATTATTCTTGAAGCATGCAGACCGAGACGCTCATATTGTTGGCTGCTGCCACGTTCCTCTTCGTACTTTACACGACCGTGTTTCAGCCGGCCCTCTTCAGCCCGCTGGCAAGAATCCCTACCGCCCACTGGTCCTGCTCCTTGTCCAACTACTGGATACTTCGTGCCAGGAAGCAAGCGAAAGAAAATGAAAGTCTCTTCAAAGCTCACTTGCGGCATGGGCCCATCGTTCGAGTGGCGCCCAACACGTTGAGCGTAGACGGGGTCGATGCCATGCGGGCGATATATCAAGGAGGCTACGAAAAGTCCGACTGGTACAGAGTCTTTGATAACTACGGGTGCGTGGGCGACCTAGCCATGCGAGTGCGATGTATTAACACGACGCAGCGTCCCGCACATGTTCTCAACGTTGGGGTCCAGGGAACACTCGCGCAGAAAACGGATGATTTCCAATGTCTACTCCAAGTCTTATATCCACGCGTCAGCGCCGGCTCGAGCCCAGAGCAGAGCGATTCTTCTGGGCAGGCTCGTCCCGCTGCTGAGACGAGAGGCCGCAACACCCGGCGCCAACGGCACAGAAGTACAGTCCATCTTCATGGCGACGACAATGGATCTCATCTCGTCGTATATTTTTGGATTGGGAAATAGTACCAATTTCATCGAGGACACGTCGTACCGAGACCACTGGCTGCAACTATATCTCTCCCGGCACCATCATCACTTCTGGCCCCAAGAACTTCCCAGCCTGACGAGGCTATGTAGAAAGCTAGGTGTGCGACTGTACCCATCGTTTGTCGATGACGCCAATCAAGAAATACGGGCGTGGAACAAAACCATGTGTGACAGGGCCGAGCAATCGATGAACAGTGACGTCAAGGGACGATGCCTACCTGCCGATGAAGCAGTCGTCTTCCAGGCGATGCACGCAGGCATCGACAAGGAAGAAAACACCGAGGGGCAAGCCTCGTTGCTTTACACCACTTCCATCCAGCAGAGGAGCTTGGCAGTGGCCAGCGAGATCCTGGATCACCTGCTCGCCGGCCATGAGACGGCCGGCATTGTGCTGACCTACATCGCCTGGCGACTGTCTCGGGCGCCCGACGTCCAGGAACAGCTTCGAACAGAGCTCCTCTCCTTGGAAACACGTGCCAATGACAGCGGTGCGCTGGCGGACCCGAAGCAGCTGGATGCCCTGCCTGTCTTGCACGCGATTGTCATGGAGACGCTTCGATTGCACGCGCCCATTCCGGGACCACAACCGCGGTCTACCCCGTATCCGGGGTGTCGGATCGGGGGCTACGATATCCCGGGCGGTGTGCGGATTGCGTCTCTCGCGCACACGCTTCATCTGGACGAGAGGGTGTATCCGGATGCGCGGAGATGGGACCACGCGCGGTGGCTTGGGCGGGAGGGGGACGGCGAGAACGGGAGGCAGATGAATCGGCAATTTTGGGCGTTTGGCAGCGGCGGACGTATGTGTATTGGCTCGAATTTCGCATTGACGGGTACGTATATCGGGTCGTTGGTGGAAAGTTTGAGATTGATAACCGATTTTTTGCAGGTATTAAAAATATCGTGGCGGCAATTTACACCAATTTCACGACGGCCGTTGTGGACGATGCCGGTATGGAGCAGACGGATGGGTATTCCTCCCGACCAGCGGGGGATAAGCTGTACCTGAGGTTTACTGCTGTGTGACAGAAATACAAGTCGAGTACTTGAATCAGCGTAAAGCGTGTAAATTGTTTACTATTTTCTGTGGTTCGTATTGTCATGACAAGCGGCGGTGCATGATAGTATCCTGATTCCTTATATATTCGGCACCGGAGGTTGCGGGGTCCGCGGATCGGGCCAAGTTCCGGGAAGATTGCCTTGGTGAATGCTTCGCCTCAACAAGCACATCATGTCCAGTTCTTATTGACTAACGTCTGGACCTTGACTCCCACCACCTATTGCATATGCCATGTTGTGAAACCACGGAGCACACGACGCGTCCTTACGATGCAGTGAATGTCCTCGGCTGACTACCATTCACCCAACCACCATCCGTGGAGTACCAGTATTCGCAACCATGTCATTCATCGACGGCGGCCATGTCCTCGCGGCAAGTACACCGCGTCTATACCATTCAGAAAAACGCTAATCAACAGCAGGCCGCTGCCGTTGCCACAGTCGCCGTTGACGTCATGGTTCATCCCATGGACACCATCATCACGAGAGTCCAGTCGCCCGCCTACAAGACACAGTACCGGCAGCGCAACGGCCTGTTCCACCGCAACCTTTTCCTCGGGCTCTACCAAGGCTTCGGGCCTACTCTGCTAGCTGGGATACCGGCCTCGGCAGCCTTCTTCTCCGTCTACGAGGCCTCCAAGGCGCTGTTTGACAGAGGCCACCTGGGATCGATTCCTCTCCCGATTGCGCACGCCATGAGCGGTGCCGCCGCTGATCTCACGGCGTGCGCCATTATCAATCCCGCAGAGGTGCTCAAGCAAAACGCCCAAGTCTCTACGACGGAGCGTCTGCTGCCCGGTCAGCGGTCGCATGTTTTGAAGACGCTGCGCCAATTCACGAGGCACCCGACGCGTCTGTGGACGGGGTACACCATGTTGGTGGCGAGTTCGTTGCCCGGGACGAGCTTGACATTTAGCCTGTACGAATGGCTGAAGCAGAAGATGGCCCGGGATGACGAGGAGCTGGCGCGCAGTATTCCGTATCAAATGAAAGTCAGCGCTGTGAGCGCCGCTGTTGCCGCCGGTTGCGCGTCGTGTATATTTGTTCCGGTGGACGTTGTCAAGACGAGAATGAGATTGGCGGCCGGCGACGAACCGGCTGCCCCGACTTGCGAGGCGCGCGCGACCAGACCGGGTCCAATGGCTGTCGCAAGAGACGTTTTACGAGTTGAGGGAGTAAGAGGTCTATTTAGAGGATTGACCTTGACATTTGTTGCGGGTGTGTTTGGCGCTGGCTTATATTTGGGCTGTTATGAGGGTTGTAAGTTGTATTTGGGACAGGAGGAAGACGACATGGCGGTTTAACGTGATACGGGGGTAATTGGCTTCGGGGACTCATCCAAATTTAGTCGCACACGAAGACGCTCTGATGTTGGATTATATAGAATGTACGATAAGATACCACGCTGCTCTGATTCCTTGGTACTGCTTTGGGTTGATAGCCCAACTCGAGATAGACGCGGACTAATTGCGTAAAATTCAGATGACTCAAGCGCAAGAACATCGGACGGTCACAGAAACCCGTCTGTCCCATCATCTCGAGTTGTGATAGTAGGTACACAAGCGGACAAGACCCAGGACGGCGTCTCTCATGTCAGACAGCAGTAGTGGCGACTCAGTCGTTGCATTCCCACCCAGACAAGCATCTGCTTCCATGGCTAGCGACGCCATGACAACACCCTCTTAACAAGGGGAGAATGTGACGGTAGCCTCGCCTCGTTCCTCAAGGAGGCAGTGACAGCTGCTGGTCAGTCATGGGTACAAAAAGGCGACGAGGCGCCTCTGCTGTCGAGCCGAGAGAGTACAACAAATCGTTTATAAAGTCATCAGGCAAGTTCGATCCACGGTGGCTATTTCTTCCATCATTCTCCTTCATTACCTTCCTGTCAACCCATCAAGGCCGCAAAGACGATGGCACTCGTTCCAACGCCGACTCTTCTAATGGGAGCAACGGCAATTTCCACCGCGACCGCAACCTGTACAACCGCTGTACCTGATACGAATGGTCATATCCCTTAGATGCAAGTAATGCCCATTGCGGCTTTTCCCCGTAATGGGACGACAATGCCGCGTTCGCAATCACATGTGGTTTGGCGACCGCTGCGTACCTTGCACAGGCCATCGTTGCAAAAAAGGTGCGTAGCCGTTCAAAATTACAAAATTCTCTTCCAATTTATGGAGTTTGTTCTCATTTCTCGCAGCCCTGTTGCTGGGTTGTTGTGGTGAGCACGCTGTGGACATGTAATGGCTTTCAGTCTGCGAACCGTCGATGCCGACGACCTACAACACTTGACATATGACGCTGTCGACTCTTTATTCTTGCTGGCACCCTTGGGTAAGATTACTAAATTAGTTCCTGGGAGGAGAATATTTCTTCTACCATATTTCTCAGGGAGAAATGCATTTACATGCCTGGTTGTAGCCCGCCTCATCTGCGCCTTTTCCATCCGAGGCGGCAGGCGCTCGGAGTATCAGCCCGCTGGCTGCGAAGGGCTTTGTGGCTGCAGATGTTATTTCCTTTTTTGTACAGGCCGGCGGCGGTGCCTTGATGGCTGACCAGCCCAATACCGAGAATGCGCACGTCGATCGGAAGATTAAAATGGTGCAAGGGGATATCCTCTGCCGTTGAGCGGCTTGCTCTTCCATCTTTTGATGATCAGGAAAGCCGCGTGACTATTGAATGAGGGAGGCAAAGGCTATTTGAAGAAGACATGGCGGTGGCAGAGGTTTCGGCAACAAGGGCATCGAGTGCTGGCAAACCAGCTTGATGGGAATTACTGGGAGTTTTCACTTGAGGTGGAATGCTCTGTCCCGAATTTTTCTTCATATTAGGGATAGTATACATTGTAGATGTAGCCCAAATAAAAAGAGGTTCGATACCGCCATGTTCGGCACAAGACTACAATACAAATGTAGTAAATACAGATGCTTCCCGCGGGACAGTTGCTAGCATCACCACGTGCGCTCCCGAAACTAACTTGTTTCTGTATGCAGTCTGGGAGAGAGCCAGTGCTGCTCCTAATATATGTTCGAACCAGTTTCTGGAAAAGTGGTTCATGAATTTCGTCGCACTTATACGCATAGTGCACACCCTTCTCGGCGCAAGAATCTTGCGCATATTCTCCATACGCCAGATCACGGTGTTCTTAATTAATGCAAGTAGCACGCTTGAGTTTATTTTCCTTGCCAGGCACTGCATGTGGCTATTCGACCGTGTGTCGCAACTCTAGCCGCACGATTCGCCCCGACCTTTGTCGAAAGATGGCATAGAGCGGCATGCGCCGGGTTAGACGTCCCCATCAATCACACTCACAGACCTTCCGAATTTGGAAGATGTGTGCGATGGCTAGCCTCTAATCAAAGACGGTGTAGCATGCCACGTAACCGTGTCGCCGGCGGTGACAGAAATGACGGATGAAGTTGGATGAACTACACACGGCGACCCTTTTGCGAAGCCAAAACCGTCCGACTTGAAGACCAACAAGTGCCCAACGAACAGCAGATGAAATGCCGGGCCTGCGGCATTGCGAGGGTCGCAGCTCCATCTTTACTGCTACCATGGCACTGCTCTTGTATCCGCTTAAACGGGCAGTGAGAATGCTCGGAGACGTGGTGCATGAAGACGGTCCATGTCTCTGGGAGAATCTTTGAACCGTGCCTTTGCTATAAATGTGACCACGGAATTGGTCGATACGTTGCCAGGATTCTGTATTAGACAATGAGGTCTTCAGCTTTTACTCATTGTACAGCCACATATTTTTTGGAGAGCAATTTTGGACTTCGTATTGTGAGTGCAATCACATGCCACAAGTCTGCAAGCTTTTCAGCGCAACACCCCAGCAAATTACACAGACAGATCTACTATTTGTCGAATCGATCCTTGATCCGCTTACCGAGCACGGACATGAGATACTCCCGGTTCCTGTAAATACCCATACCTTGTCGTCGACGACGGGGTCCTGTGGATCTAATCTGACCACGCTTGAAGTTTAGGTTCCACGGCTTGTGTAGGCAGCGGCGATTGAATGGCTCGCCAAGGGCAGGATTTGTCCAAACGGCGAGGCCATGTTTAATATCGCCGCTGCGGTTGGTCCATGCAACAAGCGCGTGGTTCCCTGTCAATACTACCACGCAGTACGACACAACTTATATCCGTACCTTACCCCAGCGGCATAGCGTCCCAAGCCATCAGTTGATTAGCTGCTTCTCTTCCAACTCCATCGGGAACTAGCATCTGCCCGGTTCCACTCTGTCAAGGAACGGGAGCCGGGGAGCATCGTGCGCGCTCGTGTGCAAGCTCGTCCTCATGCCGACTCTTCCAGAATCTCTCCTGCCCTTTTCATACATGAGATGATTCTCCCGGACCTAACTTGAACTGGTGACCGAGAAAAGCGGGCAGTAGCCATTGCTGGGTGCGAACCGAGGCGGGGGGCCTTGCAACTTGCCAGACGGTCTATGACAGCCGAACATGCAGATCTCGCCAATCAGGGTTCATGAACACGCCACGAGAGAATATTGACGCTAGGTATCACAATTGGGTCAATAGCTGACAACTCTGTCTTCCGGCGGGCAGGGCGAGCATGTCGGGGAAGTCTCGACAGCCAAGTCGGGAGGGTCTAGCGCAATGTATATATATGTAGATGCCAGACACAAACAGCCCGGAGAGACACCAGTTGACCAGATTGTTTCTCGAGGACTCGGTGAAGCTTACTGTTGAGTCCATTCCGCCGGCAGACATCTGTAAGCTGCTACAACCACAGGATGGTCTCTTTGTTTGCTTGCGCCCAGGGCGTTGTGATTCTCGCCGTCGGCATTGCCGCCAGGGCGAATCTGCCTCCGATTCCATCTGATTTGACAACCCCAGTTCAACAGCGAATTGCGGTCAACGAGCCCAACAGTGAGTTAAACACTCTTTATGCAGGGGGGATCGGTAAAAGACAGACATCTGGAGGCTAATCCGCCATTGTCATTGAACTAGGCATCACCGTGAGTTGGAATACATACAAGCAGCTGGACAAGGCATGTGTCAAGTACAGCGCATCTAACTGCTCCTTAACAGAGCAAGTCTGTTCTACCACGTCTGCTGCCACATATCCATCCTCCCGCACTTGGTTCAACACAGTCACCATCTCGGGTTTAAGCCCAGCCACCAAATACTGCTACCAAATCGTCTCGACCAACTCGACCACGGCATCCTTCCTCAGTCCGCGCCTGGCCGGCGACAAGACGCCCTTCTCAATCAATGCCATCATCGACCTCGGTGTCTACGGCGAGGACGGCTACACCATCCAGATGGACCAGACAAAGAGAGACGAGATCCCCAACATCCCGCCCTCGCTCAACCACACCACCATCAAGCGCCTCGCCGACACCATCGACGAGTACGAACTTGTCATCCACCCCGGCGACCTTGGCTACGCCGACGACTGGATCCTCCGCGGCCACAACGCCTTTGACAGCAAGAACGCCTTCCAGGCCATCCTGGAGCAGTTCTACGACCAGCTCGCCCCCATCTCCTCGCGCAAGCCCTACATGGCCAGCCCGGGCAACCACGAGGCCGCCTGCGAGGAGATCCCTCACACCACGGGCCTCTGCCCCAGCGGCCAGAAGAACTTCACCGACTTCATGACCAGGTTCGGCGGCAGCATGCCCACCTCGTTCGCGTCCACGTCGCACGACCCCGCGGCCAAGGTGAATGCCAACAAGGCCAAACACCTGGCCAAGCCCCCATTCTGGTTCTCCTTCGAGTACGGCATGGCGCACGTCGTCATGATCGACACCGAGACCGACTTTGCCGGCGCGCCCGACGGGCCCGACGGCTCCGCCGGCCTCAACGCCGGACCCTTCGGCCGCCCCGACCAGCAGCTGCAGTTCCTCGAGGCCGACCTCGCCTCGGTCGACCGCGCCGTCACGCCGTGGGTCGTCGTGGCCGGCCACAGGCCCTGGTACACGACGGGGGGGGAGGCGTGCGAGCCCTGCCGGGACGCTTTCGAGGGGATTTTTTACAGGTACGGCGTGGACCTTGGCGTCTTTGGGCATGTGCACAACTCGCAGCGCTTCTGGCCCGTGGTCAACGGGACGGCTGATCCTGCGGGCTTGGATAATCCCAAGGCGCCGGTGTATATTGTCGCGGGGGGTGCGGGGAATATCGAGGGACTGAGTGCCGTCGGGATGAGGCCGGCGTATACTGCTTTTGCGTACGCTGACGACTTTAGCTATGCTACGATAAGCTTTTTGGATGCGCAGAACATGAAGATTGACTTTTATAGATCGGCGACGGGGGAGTTGCTGGATACGTCTACCCTGTATAAGGTGCATGACCGGCAGTTTGTAGAGCAGTGACACTGGCTTGTAAATGTCTGGTGGGAAATGGTAAATAGTCCGTACATACTGGTATATAGGAACAGAACATACGATTCTCGTCTATTTGTAGTGTGGTTAGGTGTCCTTTCTGAACTTGTAGCAGCGAGGTGATGGGGGTTTTGATCCCGTGCCAATTATGTTGCCTTGATACTAACACAACCGATGTGTGATGGCTACTGTAAATAATTCATCACCTCATTTTTAGAATCTATATATTGCTCCACAAAACATTGCCTACGTCAGCGAGCCGTCCAGAGAAACAGCCGCAGCGCATCATCTCCGTCGTCATCACTGAGGACTTGAAACCCAGCCCTCTCGTACAGGATTCTAGCAGCGGAATTATTCTTCTTGACGAGCACTGTGATGAGACACGGTTTGCCTTCGGAATCAGCAACTTCTTGTGCCTCTTTGGCCGCCGCCTCCATGACTCTTCTTCCCAGGCCCCTTCGTCGAGCTCCCGGAGCAGTGTACACTGCGTTGACCTCCCAATGCGACACCTGCTGCGTAGCCTCGTGGTCTGCCTCGAGACCAAGTTGAGTTTTGACTCCTTGTGGTACACAAACGTCGCGGACAATCGTGACAGAAGACAAAATGTCGCCATCGTGCTTTTGTATAGCTACAAACGTTTTGGCATTCGGGTTTAATAACCGGCCACGCCAAAAATCATCCGCCATGGACACTTCGCGGGTGTAGGTTGATGCAAAGACTGTTTGCGCACACATCACCAGTCAGATGGCTGTTCGTTTGGAAATTATCCATGAAACCTAGACGTGCTCGGGAGGTGAGCATGGTGCGGTTGCTTACAGGACGGGTCATTTTGTAAAGCCGCAAGGCGGAATGGCTTGTAGTGGGTCAGGAACAAGTCGACTCCAGGCTCATCTGGTTGAATGAGTTGCACTGAATATTCCATCGACTTTCTCGGTCGGATGTTGCTGTTGGAAATGGTTCTCATCAAGTGTTCACCACGGCCAGGCGGCTGTGACGGACACTCGGTTCTCTTGGGTGTCACGGTATGACTCAGAGCAGCTACCGTGGATGGGGATGTCAGGTCAACCAGACTCCAACATTGAATAAGGCACAAAATTCTAGTGGCTGTGTCCCAGAGACCACATTCGCCCAATGGGACAATACCCAGCACTTGAGAGCGGATGCATTTAGGGTTAGGGTTATGGTGTCTGCATCATTTACAGTTCCCTTCATTGTCTGTCCCCGTCGGATCGTCCTTAGTACACGGATTCTGGTTACGATGACAAAATAGTCGTTGAAAACAAGACTTACTCCTGTGCCACTGTCTGCATCGGCAGCGGGCCGGAATAGAGACGGCTGTGGTGCAGGGTCAGGAGGATGTTGGACTACATGGAAGGAACTGCACAATGTTGCCGCAGAATCACACAACTCTGGGCCGTAAGCAATAAGCAGTTAAAGAATCGATGAAAAGTTTGGCATCTCCAATTCATGCCTAGTAGAAAGTGGCATCGCCGAAGCATTGAGCAAGGGCAGCACCAATAAAAGGACATCTGGAGCTTGACTGCGATTGTACAAGAGGAAGCACAACTAAGCTTCACCGTACCAACCCGTCGTTCAACTACGTGGAGTCACCCTGAGACCGCGTTGGGATATCAGCAGCGGGTATAAAATAGTTGGACACACGTCTTACGTAAAACAAGTTCACTCAAGTCATCGCCTGAGCGAGGGTGATTGTACCACGGGACTGTGCATGCCTATACTCGTATTACTGTTATCATTTACCTACGCTCCCAGTTCCGACACCGGCTGCTTGAGCCCGAGGTCTTGACAGTATCTACTGCGCCGACAAATGACCCTTCTTGCTCATGTTTGAGAACGGTCCATTGTAGTCAAGGTATGTAGTTCGTAGAAGCTGCTTCAACGACCAAATTCAAGATGATTAACGACAAGAGGTTGACTTAATGGAAAGTCCCACGCCATGCATATATGACTTCAGACTTGTCTTATCATATCCCAGAGGGCAGAAACAGATGCCGTCAGGTTTGGCATGCTAAACTCAAAGTTCCGTTCCTCAGGTCAAGGATGGAGGAGGAAGGGTAAAGTACTAAGCATCATGATTATGGCATCCATTTTATATGACCTATTTTGGTCTCAGGTTGGTTATTATCATTACTGGTGTGCCTTGCTTCGGCTCGTCCACGTCATGAAACATCCCCCAACCCTCTCAAGACGCACCAACTTACCATGGCAATGGAGATGCGCCGGGTCCAAGGTCAATACCAATCTGATATGTTGTATTGCCTGCGTTATATTTCCGCATTGGTGCTGACAGTGTCAGCCAATCGGGGTTTCAAAGTCGTCCCTGGAATCAGAAACGGAAAAGATTGGCCACACTAATATCCTGGCCCAGGAACAAATGGACTTCGCTTAACGAGTTGCTACGCCGTTCCACTTTTCATGTCAGCCATCCTAGCTGAAGGGTGGACATTTGCAACGCTGCCGTCTTTTGCAAAAGGCAAGAATCGCTCAGGTTTGTCCAGTTGCGACACGTTAGCTTCCAGACGTTTTGAACGAGGCTATTTATAGACTCCAGCCCAAGGACCATTGCGCAGAACAATCCGCATAGGCTGTCTCATGGTAATCAAATTCGTCTCCCTGATCAGTTCATCATATGCATCGTTTCTTAAGCGAAGGGGGCGAGATGGTGGCGTCTCTCTATCGACGATGCCAATGTCTCAGTTAAGAATGCGGAAGCGAGACGCTGAATGCTGAGGGTGCATATCGGTTATGCACGATGAGGCCGGCTGAATAGGCGGCCCTCCACAAAGTGGCGGGTTGGGTATGAGCAAAAGAAACACCAAGCCGGAACTCGGGCGATCCTTGCGGCCGAGTTTTGATGACAGGTCGCGGACTTGTCGGCGACTGTACATGGTTTAGATGCGCAGAGAGCAAATGCAACATTTCGTAATGAGACGGTGAACGCTTGGAGGGAGAATAGTGTCCAGGGCAAGACTTTTCCTCATCCCCGTACAAAAAGAAAAAATGAAAGGGATGCTCGGGTATAAAAAAGGTCTCGTCTACATACAAACGACTCTCATGATTCATCTCATTACACTGCAACAGTTTTCAAGACTACAACATCTCTCCATCTTTACCAGCCCTTAGAAATCATTGACACATCATCTTTGAAGCTCTTCAAAATGAAGTTTTCCGCGTCCATTCTTGCCATCGTTTCTCTTGCTGCCTCTTCTGTGGCTGACAAAATTACCACCCAGCTCACACTATGCAAGCAGCCTAACCTCCAGGACTGCGATGATCAATTTGTGCCTATTGACAGTTGCTGTAAGATTACTTAATCTTGGCCGAGTACGCCTAGACCACCGATGGAGATACTGATAATGAACCAAATATAGACAAGGTTCCGGAATGTGAGGTCCAGTCTTTGAACACGGGAGGTCATGTTTGCGACTTTTACTCGTGAGTTTTCTCCTTCTCATCACGCAAATAATACATATGGCTAATACGTTTCTAGGCACGATGGATGCTCCGGAAACAAGTACCAGTACGCTGGCATTCAGCAGAACTTGCCCCCGGGAACCACCATCCGATCAGTGTTTTGCTGGTAAATCTAGCAGGATTACTCAAGATGGTGGAAGACGGCAATTCATCCCGGATTAACCGTAACCCCCTCGTCGTTCAACTTCATCTCTTCACACACTGTCATCACGAACACATCTGGTCGAAGTTGTCCTCGATGACTTTGTACTCGTTGTCTGTTTTCCTCTCACAATAGTTCTTGGATCTAGAAAACAATCTCTATGGTGTGATTTGCTTTCAATAATACAGTGTACTTTTTTATATATAGATAACTATACTGATTTCAGGCTTTCTCAGAGTCCACGTGAGCCGGACCGAGTTGTGGTATTTGGCCTACCCTACTCTGGTCTTTCGCATCATAAAACTTGGGTCCACATGTAAATTCGCAGCTCCTCGTATGAAGTCGAATTGAACTTGGTCGAGCCACTACACGGTTTACTTTGCATTCTGATTATGAAGCATCTTCAATCTCGATACTATCTGACTCCGTGTTTTCGCCTTGATCTCGTGTTCCTCGAATTGTCCCAAACTCAAATTCACCATTGCTAATATACATAATAAGAACCGGCCATTACTTCAGGCTGCGCCCCCAAGCCAGCCGAAAGCACGTACGGGACTGCTTTGTATACCGAACTATTCATCTCAAAAAGCCATTCACAATATTTCCGAGTTGCTTCAGTTGATGCACATCGTCCATCATGGTGAAGTGATCAGCCAGGTCCAAGATCTCTATGCCAATCCTTTCAGACCCCACCAATCGCTTCCAACCGTTGGCAGTGAAGTCAGTGCGATCTCTCAGAATCCAACAGATGTCACGATTACCAGGGGCGTGGAGCTCTCTCTCTTGGCCTTCATAATCATTATTCGCTCCTTTCCTTGCGTATACCAGCAAAGTGTCCAGGTCAGTGCTGCTTGCAAGCGGCAACGGCGAATAAGTTCCCAACACCTCGACCATGCCATCAAAATGCTGGAGGAGCCAGTCTGGCGCTTTCCCCGTTCTCCCACCAAATCTTAGTACATCTTTCAAAAAGTAAGACATTTTCCTAGATGGGATCTGTAAACCGAACGGATCCGGTGAGTCTAGTAAAAGCAATTTCCTCACAGGAACGCCTTCATCAGCTAACTGTCGTATGGCTTCATATGCAAGTACACCTCCTGCGGACCAGCCCCCAAACACCAGATTCGGAGTCCCGGTGGGGTGATTTTGCCAACCGTGCTGCTTATGAGTCTCAAGGAGGCGGCGGACTTCAACTAGTTGCCTGGCTACAATTTGAGAGACCGTGATCTTCTTCCGAATCAACTCTAGGCCATTCTTGCGCCAGGGGCAATTAACTCCGTACACGGCCACGTCTTTGGAAAACATCGGGGCTAGGTTGGCATATGATGCGGCCGATCCAGATCCATCTGGGAAAAGGACCAAGACGGACTTGGCCGTGCTCACTGAACCGCTCAGAAGCACAGAGTCTGCCGCCGAGTCTCGCGAGAGTATTGATCCGTGGGGATTTTCGGCTGAAATGGACTTGGGAACAGCATCAAGTACCTGCGTCGTAGGGGCGCTTGGGAAGCCAGTCTTTATAGCTCCTGCTGAACCTGGGCTTGGCAAGTTACAGAGAATCTTGCGTAACGCTACCTCTAAATCGAGAAGAGTCTCGCAGCCCAGGATGGTGGCGCCGGTAATCTTGACGCTGAGCTTCTCACACAGTGTCCCTGCAATTATTATGGCAAGAAGAGAATCAATGCCGGCGTCAGCAGTAGAGGTAGATGGCAACAATTCGTCGACAGGTGTGGCCGTTTCGCGGGCGATCGTCTCCCACAACACGCTTCGGATCGAATCGCCGTCTGATGTTTCTGACATGCATACCTCGCTCGTGGCTGAAACGACGCTCTCATAAGCACTGGTGACCTCGCTGCCATTGGAGGAGTTGTCGTCTGTTGAGGATGAATAGACGAAACTGCCCTCGCACAGGTGTTGTACTTGGCCTACCAGCCCACACGCAAGAAGTTCCGCTGAAGAAATGCTTAGACCAAGTTCTTGTCGAACGCGAGAAGTAATGGTCAGAGATAATAGTGAGTCAATACCCAAGTCGGCAAGTTGGGACTCGGGGTCCAGATCGCAGGGCGGGATCCCAATTTCTTGACAAATAATCTCCATCACAGGCCCAAACCCAGACGCAGTAACGGATGGCTGATTGCCGATGGCCGAGGCTACTTCATGAGAAACACTTTTCTTGGTATTGCTACCGGAATAGCAAAGGCCGGAATCGTGCCGAACAGCCCCCGTTGCGGCCGGCTCTTGTCCTCTGACTAGGCGTTTCGCAGGCAACAGATGATTGAGAACCCGACGTTGCATTCCGACAAACTGTGATGTGTTAGAGGTCAATACGGAGACAAGCGGAGTAAAGTGCAATAAAAGCGGTTGGCAAGGCTCGACATACCTTGATTCCTTCGTACACGGCTACTATCCGATCCCCATCAAGGACAAACACATCGCCAACAAAAGTCGTCTTCTCTTCAAGCTGCATTCTGCAATATGCGCGATACGTCTTTGATGCCGTGAGCTTCTCGGCATGGCGCAGCTTTTCCCACCCGTGGTTGATAAATACTTGCTCTTGGCTGTTCGTGGCATCATTAGCATTCATGATGAAGCCCGAAATATGGCCCAAGCTGTCAATCCACCTGGCATCCATACCAAGCCGGCCCTCCCGGGATTCAATTTGGAATTGCACCGTCGAAACGGCTTCCAACGCATCCGTGTCCAGCAGAACTTGGGACATGCCCTTGAAATCGTCACTGTAGTCGACCACGGCGGCAAACAATTTGTAAACCATGCGTCGTCGCAGCTTCTGACTATTGTTGCTTCGTTCAAGCGCCTGAACTCTTGACATGACGAGATGTGAGTTGCGCTTCCAATCCGCGAGCCAGCGCTGATTGGGAACAATGCGTACATGAACGGTAGCATGGGAAACAGGTTGCTCCCCAGACGGAGAAACACTGGAAATGGCCAAGCTGAGCATGTTGGAGCTCCAGTCTGCTTCCGTTGTGACTCGAAAGATGCGGCTTGTTTCATCGTCCTTTGCAATAAGAGGCTGGTCGATGCGGAGGTTAAAAATCTCCAAACCGGTACTCTCTCGGCACAACTTGCGTTCTTGCACGAGGTACTCACCGAGAGTCAGGGCAATCTCGGCATACAGCGACTGCAGATAACAATAGTGAGCTGGTGGGCGTTATGCGGATCCGGTACACATGGACTTACCGAAGGGCAAAGAAATGAACCATTGATGGCATGGCCTCGCAGAACCGGTAATAGCTCCCGATGAAAGATGTCTGATTCCACAACCATGCAAGACTTGGTCTGCGTGTGCGTCTCCTCTATGACCTTTTGCGCCACTGGAGATATATACTTGAACGTTTCGACTCGAGTCTGGAGCTCAGCGTCTTGCGTCTTTCCCAAACAAATCTTCCTATTCACACAAAAGTCATCCTTGTAGTCAATCCAGTAGTTCTTCAGGTCCCACGCGTAGCGAGGAAGATCTAGAACCACGTGCGCTGCCGGAAACTCGCGATGGTATTCACTCCAGTCCACGTCCATACCCGCAAGATACAGCGCCTCTACCGCCTTGGCCATGGTTTGACAACCTCCCAAGTTCTCTCTCAACGTATTCAGCACCCGTTCCCCCGCCCCGAGAGTCTGTTTAATCATCGAGGCGCAAAGAGGGCGCGCTCCGACTTCCAACCAAATCACACCATTGCCAGACAACCCATGGCCCTGTGCCACGGTCAAAGCCGTGCTAAAGTCGACAAGACACCGACTAGCCCGCGCAAGATACGACACATTGAGAACGCCGTCTTCGCCGTCCGCCACAACTCTCCCCAGCAACGGCGAAATAAAAGGCACCTTGGGAGCGCGAAAAACAACGCCGGCCTGCGCGGCGGCCTCGAATCCCGGCAGGATAGGATCTACCTGGCTCGAGTGAAAAGCAAACGGCACGTCCAACTCGACGGTTGCCAATCCCGCCCCGTGGGCTGCGATAATCACAGCAGGCATTTGGTCCTTGGGGCCTGCCACGACATGCGCGCCAGGATGATTCGCGCAAGCCACCTCGAAGTCGGTCCCTACCACGCGCAGCAGGCGCTCCGTCTCCCGGCGAGACGCCTTGACGACGAGCATCCCGTGCGTGCCCTTTCTGCAGTGCTGGTCCAGCAGCGAGGCCCGTTTTCCTACCAGGTATATCGCGTCGCCGGCGCTGATGACGCCCGCCGCGTATAGTGCGGCGTATTCGCCGAGGGAGTGGCCGATGACGGCAGTTGGTTGGATTCGCCATCTGTGGAGGAGCTTGACGAGCGCGAGCTGGGTGCACAGAAGGGCGAGGTGAGAGGTGACTGCGCTGAGGGTGTGAATCTCAGCGCTGGTTGAGCCGTTGATCAGGCTGATGAAGCTTGGGAAGCTGTAGCTTTCGGCAAGTTGGTCCAGCTGAGTGACGTCCTGGCGGAAAGACCGGTAGACGTTGAAGAGATCTCTGCCCATGCCGATATATAGGCTTCCCTGGCCGGTGAATGTGAATACGATCCGGGGCCGTTTTCCCGGAGGCGGAATGGGCTTGACCGTTTTGGGATCTTGGTTTGACAGTGATGCGAGGTCCCTTATCAGCGAGGGCACGTTTTCTGCAGACACCATTATTCGATGCTCGTGATGTGTGCGTCGCGCTGTGGTGGTGTAGGAGAGCTCGGAGAGCGCCGTGTCCGGGTGATGTTGAAGCCATGACGCGAGCGACTGGGCATTGTTCAGAAGAGATGGTGCTGTTTTTGCGGTGACGGCAACTAGATGGGTTTGACGGCCGTCCATTTCCTGGACATTTCCCGACCGTCGTGGCGCCTCTTCCACCAGGACTGCAGTGTTGCCGCCTGCTGCACTGAAGTTGTTTACGAATGCGGCTCGTTTCGTAGAACTTGGATAACGAGGCCACGCGGTAGGTTGGGCTGCAATATACACTCCTCTTGCTGCCAAATCTGCAGGATAACTGCGGTTGATTTGGGTCTTGATGCCACAGTGCGGCGGTATCTCATTGTGCTTGAGCATGAGGAGGATCTTGATCAAGGACGTGATCCCAGACGCAGCTTCGGCATGTCCGACATTTGCCTTGAGAGAGCCAACGTACAACGGTCTGTTTCGTTGGGTTTCTGACCGTTCCGCTCGGGGCGCAAACGTCGATAACACGGAGCTCATTTCAGTGGCGTCTCCAACCTGCGTTCCGGTCCCGTGCATTTCGACTACGCCAACGTCCAGAGGGTCGTAGTTGGCCCGCCGGAGAATCTGTTGGAACAGCGCGGCCTGGTCACCCTCGTGCGGTCGAGTGATGCTCTCGGCATGCCCGCAGTGATTCGTACCAGCCGCGACGATGACGCCCAATATTGGATCGTTGTCAGCCTCGGCGTCCTCCAATCGTTTGAGAATCACGCTAGTAACGGCATCGGCTCTGCAGTATCCATTCGCTGCATCGTCAAATACGTTGCAGTTTCCGGTGGTAGAGAGGAAATGGGCTCTGTCCAGGCCGCAGAAGATATTGGGGTTGGTCATGATGTTGCTGCCACCAGCAATGGCGGTGTCACATTGCCCGCTCAACAAGTAGCTGCAGGCTATTTGCAGCGCCGCAAAGCTGGAAGAGCATGCAGTGTCGACACTAAGACTTGGTCCGGATAGACGGAAAAAGTAGCTGATGCGCCCGGGACAAAACGCTCGATTTCCGCCTGGTATGAAGTAGGTGTCGACGTTTTGTGAAGCGTTGATGTCGCGCCAGTCATCGCTGGTTGATCCGAAAAACACTCCGACACGGTCGTCTTGAGTACTGGGGGTTCTGTTTCGGACAAAGCCTGCCATCTCCATGGCTTCGTATGTTGTGAGAATGGCTAGTCTTTGAGCTGGGTCCGTGTTCTCCGCCTCTCGAGGCGACATGTTAAAGAATCGAGCATCAAAAAGACCAGGTGAATTCACGAAGCATCCGTGCTTAACTCGGAATTTATTCGTAGCCCTTCCCTCCGCATCGTAATGTGTCTTGTGGTCAAAGCGATCATCTGGGATCTCGCGGTGGACGTCGCGACCCGCGCGGAGGAGCTCCCAGAATGCTTCAGTAGAGTCCGCTGACGGAAACCGCCCAGAATATCCAATAATAGCAATTTTGGATTGTTCAAACCTCCCAGGGACGTGACTAGTATCAGAAGTTACTTGCAACACATCTGTCATGTCCAAATGAATCCCAAAGTTGTTAAGCAAGGCCGTGGAGAGCATCGATGTTGTTCCATACGCGATCGCCGTGAGACGACATCTGCGACTCCCCATCTGGCTTAGATGTTCGCCGCATGATCTAAACACGGCATCCAAGTCCAACTGCCGTCTTAGTGCACCGTCAACCGCCATGCGAAGGCGGCCCAAGAAATCCGTCTTTGCATCAGCGCTAGAATATGCGGGCAATAGAGCGATTCTCGATGCTGCGGACGTCGCGGTATTTTCCGCAACTCCTTCCATAATCTCATCAATATCCCGCTCGCTAAACAAGTGTGGCGCGTGATACGGAGACGCAATGTCCAACCACTTGACTCTCAGCTTGTCCTTGTTGACTGCCACAAAGTCGGACAAGACAAGAGGTCTTCCACCGAGAGTCGTGACTTCAGTAGGGGTTCTGGCAGTAACCCATATTGCTTCATAATCTTCCAATACCTATTCGGACCCAATTAGTCGCAACATCTCTTCCCAATAACGTAGCAAGTAGCTTACAGTTGCGGACTTGGTGAATGAGGCGAGGAGCTCCTCAACGGTGGCATTTGTCGTTGGCAAAACCGACGCCGACCATGTCATTGACGCATCGCTCCTTTCAACCGCAATCGTCTCCCCAACCAGGCATGACTTCAGGCCGGTTCTGAAAGCAGCCAGCGCAGACTCTACCGCCAAGGGAACAAAACTAGTCACCGATGAGGAACAGCCGGCGGCCGCAGCAGTAAAGTTTCCCGCACAGCTGCTGATTATGCACGTATCCGCCGCCGATGGATATTCCGTGGCTGCATTTCCGCCGTAATGGCTGCGGGTGTTGGTTAGGATACGGTCTCATGCAAGCAACGCCATGTTCCTGGCGGTTGTAGTCAGAGGTCAGGAGATGGGTAACTAACTGGATAAACTGAGCGCTCTGCAGCACGCTCAGCAGGAAGAGTTGTAATGCGGGTCGACCGGGAGCGCACTCCCACTTGTCGAGGAGATCTACAAGTGTCGAGAACCTCGGGAAGAGATGTTGCTGCGTGGATGGAAGGCATCCGAGAAACTGGCGAAGGCCGAAACTCACACGGACAAAGAAATCGGAAAGGTTGGCATTGTTTTTCGAATGTAGTAGTCCCTGGAGAGAATCCAGACACTCGGAGGCGGCGAGATCGCCAAATGCAATAAGCTCTGGGTCTTTCTGCGGAATGTCCGTTGTGTTGGTCATCATTTCGGTTCAGTTAGGATAAATAGTTAAGAGTATCAGCATGTTCATGCCTAAGTAGTATTGCACAAAAGCCAAGTTGGTTTGCAATCCTCTCTGTATCCGGGGTTGGAGACAACTTCACCAAAGAGGATAGGTTTAAGGATATATACATCAACGGTTCATCTACAACATCTGTCTTTTTTCAGCAGCAATGCGAACAAGCCTGCCGGCCGCCAAGATTGGCTTACCAAGGCCATTTGTCATTATAGTGATGATACGATGCAACCCCTGACTTGTGGTCTTTGTCGTCTTGTGTCATGTAAGCTCGGGCTTCTTTATTCGCACGTACCAGCGGCGTGGTAACTCATACCGTTTCCGATAACCTCATGTGGGACATGAATGTCCTTCTGTGGGACCTCATTATGGAATCCCCATGTTATGGCAGGGCAGTAACTGGTCTAATGACAACATGGACATGTATCAGCGTTGCGGTTTGGGTGTCTCACAGTTTTGTCTCGGCGACTCTATAGGCCTTGGCATCTGAACTGCTTTGAACATGGGCGCGGATTTGTGATTGACAGATAGAACCAACAACGCCGCGGCCAAGCCAGCACGGACAGTCACATGTTCAGCGGCCATTTTACAACTTGCACCCAGCTACTAGACCAAAACGAGAAGAGATATCCGCAAGTGAAATTATCTCCGGCCTTGTCGAGATGAAGCAATTATTCTCACGATAGTGCAGTTGCTAATCTCAAGTATGGTGTCATAGTTGTCATGCTACAGCAACTATATGGCTTGTGGTCTTAAGTTGTAACCAAACAGAAGACACAAAGTCGCAAGGCAAAATCCACCTTGCGTCATATCCTGTTCAAGAATGAATGCAGATGGACCCCGTATCTTCACAGCTGAATTCGCCTGTGTCACCCTTGCCTGAAAAGCACGGGCTAATTTCATGACTGGAATTACACCTGATCACAAATCATGTGCGACCAAGCCATGAACCAACAAGCCGGGTCACCACCAGGGCGCAGTGATCATTTCATCGGATGGTCAGGGCTTTTGTTCAGCCCTGAAATGGAGCAGTGTGATCTCGATACGGCTTCTCGTTGGCGTTTGGAACAAAGAAGTGCATTCTTCATTGGCTCCAGTCCCTGCATGGATGTATGTAACCGTCCACAACATTTGCTACCACGGCACCAGCTTGGCACAGCATCATGACCAGGTTTCTGCCGTGGAAGGACGAGTGGAGCTGCAAGTGGTCTTTGCTGAGAAGGCTCATGGGAGGGTTTTCGCCGTTCGGACTTTGAGGAACCTGGGCACCTTGGCATCGTGTAACAGTGATAGTGGTAGGGACTTTAAGCAGCTGGATTTCCATACATTGTCGGAATGAGGCTGAACGGCCGTTGAATGAGGCGCATTTCTGACTTGAATCGGGCCGTTGTTTCAATCACGGTGTAGTTGGGTTCCGGGTGTCACAACCTGCAAAGGGCAGTTGGGCCAAGCTGTTGGGTAAAGCAAATGACATGTCTCGGCCTTTTTCTTTTGTCAACTACTGAAAATGATGGCTGATAGCTTGCAGTCGGTGAAAGTGACCCCGACCAACTGCATCACTGAACCGCGAGTCCGCGACAGCAGATGCGCTCGGCCGGTGCGACTTGATCCTTGACATCTATCACTCAGATGGAAGCATGGAAGCTTCCTACACGTGAATCCTCTTCAACACCTAAACTAGCCCGGTACTCTTTCACACATCCTATTGGCCCATGCGGTCCCGGGAAAACAAGAATCGAACAATGTGAATGACGGCTTGGGACAAGACACCCCATTGACTCATCGACGCATGCCGTCTAGCCGCCGCAACACTGCCTCACCAGTGTCTACTCCAAAGCAACAGTATCCGGGGTCTTTTCGGTGGCTGCCTCTTCACTCTTCTCCAAATGATCAACAAACGACAACATCCTCAGTCGCCACAAGTACATGTTGTGAAGATCAGCTCGCCACGCAGCCTCGGAGAGATTATGTCCCGTGATGAGAATCATCATGAAGAATGTCTCAACGATGCTCGGCGGGATATTGCAAAGCAGCTGTCCCGTAGTAGTCCACTTCATCGCGCTCGCCCCGACAATGAGCCCGACGACGACGACGACGCCCAAAATAACGGTCAACTCGTGCGCGCAGATGACGCCCATGGCGTTGGATAGCCGATAGTTGACGGAACCGAGGTTGACCACGGCCCTGTCCGGCGGAGGCACGCCCATCTCATCGGCCATGGCCACATCCTCGAGCTTGGCGCTCTCGAGCGCGGCCTCTTCATACTGGTGCAGCCGCTGCTGGACGTTGCGCAGGACAAAGCCATCCACCAGCCCAACCAAGCCGGCATACGTGCCGATGAGAAGCCACCAGTTGTCATCCCACCTCATCGCCGGGCCGATGCAGATCCACACGACCATGACAACGACGAGCAGCGCAATGCCAACAAGGGTCCCGATGACGTCGGCGTAGTAGAAGATGGCGCGCTGGATCCCATTCACGCGAGGCGCGGGAATGACCACGACGGGATTCTCCTCCGCATCGCCGGTGAGGCCCCGAAGCTTCAGCTCCACCTCGGAATCGACCTCGAATATGGCGTCGAGGCACCGCTCAATGTACACCGTGTGCCGCTCGCGGATGTTCGCCAGGAAGGCAAAGATGAGCACCATGAGCGCCGACGTGGCCGAGTTGATGTACAGCTGCCACCGGTCACTCCAGCCGCAGTAATGCCCAAACGCGAGCCAGACGCCGATGCACGCCCAGTACATGCAAATGGTGGCAAAGTGGCCGAGAAACGCGGCAAAACAGTTGGACGCCCGTCCGGCCCAGTTCTCCGCGGGGAGCTCTGGTCCAAACCTCGACGACTCTGCGGCCTGGACATCCTGGACACGGGCGCGTTTACACCGACCGCTGGCTAGGACGCGGCGCATCATCCTCTTCTGGCTCTGGGTGCGCGACCTCAGACCCGCGGCGGCTCGTACCTGGCGCTCGTATCCATTGAGCTGCTGGCGCATGAGCAGCGAGTCGAACAGGTAGCTGACGATGGCTTGGATGTCGGAAATCAGAGCGGCCCAGTTGTCTTGCTCGCCGTAGCGGATGCCGGTGAAGGCCCAGACTAAAAGACCGGCGACGATGATGAGGAAGACTGGCTCTGAGCCCGAGGCCGTGACGAGGGCGTCGAGCCATCGGTCCAGTCTGCCCGTCTTGGTCTGCGCCACGTAGCCGGTGATGTTGACAGATTGGGAGTCCGACGCTTTGGCATCACTTACCACGGCGATACTGTCCTTGCCGTCGGCGATGCTGGACTTGAGGGCGACATGCTGCGTCGGGGCCCTCTCTTCGATGGCGCCCTTGATTCCAGGGGCGGAGAGCCAGTTGATGAGTTGGTTCAACATGTCGAGTTGCCGTGGCTCGAGGCGGGCGCCAACTTGGACAAGAGGAGCTGGAATCTGCGACGATTAGTTCAAATCTTCTCATTTTTGTTCCCTCCTAGTCAGTCTGATGGACCTAGGGTCGCCGCCCGACATACATGGTACAAATTAGTTTTCAACTTAGACGACCAAGCGGGAGGTGTTTGTCGTCGTCAACACCCTACATTCAGGGTAAAATAGCTGCAACGCTCAGAGCGCGGCTTCCATCAAGTCAATCTGATCGAATCGAGCTATGGCGGCCAGTACTCCTCTGATACGTCGATTAGAGTCATGCCCAGGTGGACATGCCTCGGGTTTGTCGAAAAGGTCGCCAGTGTTGAAATATCGCGGCGCGCTTGCGGCCACGATGCTTGGAGTCTTAGAATTGGATACCGATGCGGTTGACAGCAGAAACAGTCGCCGCCGTACACCTAGTTGGTTTATATGTTTCGCGAGAGCAGACACACGAACAATGGGCAGTGCGAACAGCAGGGGATGTCGGGTTTTGACAAGTAAATGTAGGCAACGCAGGCCAGATGTCCATGGCACATGCCAACCCTATTATTTATCGACAAAATTGGATTGACTTTTTCTTCAGCCCCGTCTAACGGGTATCCGGCAACTCTGCCACACGGAACGTCGTCCGGCCCATAAAAGCCTACTTCCATTTTAGGCAGTATCTCGTCCCTATGAGGATATGTACTCCTATGAGGGATTTTCACACGATGCGTAAAACGCGTTTGGCGCGGCCGACTGTGGCTGTGCCGATCGCCAAATATTTCTTCAATAGACGGACCAGCTCCGGGAGGCGGACGAGCAGACTATCACCACGGCAGGATGATGGAATCCTCCCGTCTTACTCCCCCATTTACTGGCCACCCTTGACCAGTCCATAGTCTGCAAGTTGATCTGAAAAAGAAAGAAAACAAGGTAGTGCGGCCGTGAAGGCCCGACCGACGCAAAGGGCATGTGCGACTCTTCTGCTCTGCCATGTACAAATATCGCGGTGGCTTTCGGCTCTCGGCACACAACACTGGGTCCTTGAAAACTTTTCTTCCAGGCTGGAGCTTCATCAAGCCTCGTCGATATACCGGGCAGAGGGCTTGACGGGCCAGTTCAGCCCAGGAGGGCGACCTGGTGCCAACTTGACAAATTGGTGGCATCTGGCCCAATACAAGCTTTTGCCAAGGTTCCGACAGGGACATGCCGGCGATCGGCAAACTTCCGAAAACGTGGCTTGCTCGTGGTGACTCTGACGACGCGGTGCGCCCGCCGTCTGGCGTCATGCCTTCAATGTTGTGCCGCTTCTGGCGGCAGAAGACACGACGAAAGTAGACATGAGTAGCGGTCGTTTCATCTTGGGGTCCAATTGTCATGACTGCAGCTTACTGCCCTGTTTACAGCGCGGTACATGTGTCTCACGCTAATAGAAACGGCCAACGCGGAGAGTGCAGATGGAAGCTGCCTGAGAACGTAGCCCACGTGTTTACAAGGCACCTTTGCAGATGCGGCTGGAACAAAATTGGTGTCATGCATAGATCAACGCATCGATGGACTCAGCCCTGTAGCGCCATGGCGGTAAAAGCTGAAGTCTGGCCATTTTTGTCAGGTTTTGGCCCCGTCAGATGCCACACGGGACGGGTCGTCACCGTCATATTGGGCCAAAGTGGTGGGTTATAAACTGTATACTCTTCAATATCCATGATTTGACAGTAGTATAGTTTCCTATAATAGTATAGAGGAATGTCTGAGGAGCGGGTTGAATCAAGTAGAGTCCATGAATGGCGTCAACCTGAGTACCCTTGGTTCCTGCAACACGACGCGGTAGCGTGGCACGGCAAGAGTATATCGCTCGGCTCTAGAACAGACCCCAACCTACGCGGCAGCAAATGTCCTATCAGGCCACCACCTCCATCTTCTGTCTCCCTCGACAATCTTCTTATGGTGTACTGGTTGAGTCGGTGGTCATGCAAGTCTGGTGATACCCGGCCTGACAAGGTCGGACCGACCATGTCATCGGGTTCATCTGGAACAATATTTTGAGTAAATGGCGTCTTTCTACACTTGAATGATTGTCAATTTCCGCAGATGCCCGTGTGAGTTGTCGATGAGCCTGGTATGTTGACGAATAAAGCCTCAAACGCGGGTAGTTTCACAGCGCTCACCCATACAGACCGCCGTTGTCATCCTTTGAGCCTTGACTCTTTCCCGCCTGCGGGTTTGTGACCTTGATGCAGCTCTCCATTCCCTCCAAGGTCATGACATACCTTTGTAGTGTGGACGCGCGGCCGTGGCTCTCAACGAAAGACAGGACCAAGTCTTTCTGCTGGGGGTCGTACACCAAGTGCTCGCAGGCCTTGTCATTCCATACCATGGGCTCTATATCTTGGAGATGAAAGTTCACTATGTAGCAAGTCAGCTTCTTGGAGTTACTACAGGTCGAATTTACCGTACTCACTCCAAAGCTTATGTTTATATTCTTCAATCCATACCCTCCAATAAGTCCGGGTACATACGCCAGATCCTCTGGCTTCTCGGGCATGAAGCTCTTATTCTCCAGTATCTCGGCATCAGTAAGTTGTCGTCTCTTCACTGCAGTCGTCTGCTCGTCCGGCGCCGCTTCTTGTCCATTATCATTGTCATCTATGTCAAAGTCGACATCCTCCTAGGCGGCGTTGGCACTGCGCCTCGCTGCTTTCGCTCGCTCAATGTTTGGCTCCTTGTACTCTTGCAGGCCTTTGCGAAGTGGTACTTGTGATATCCGACAATTTCGACGTTCAGTCAAGCTGCACACTGGACAATTTTGCGGAAACAGCCTCCATGCGCTTTTGAAGTCTACTCAAAGCGATCTGCTGGGTTTTCTTGTTGGCGAACCTGAGTCCAGCGAACATTTCATTCATGACGCTTAGTAGGAGTTGCAGGTATGGCTTCAAGGCGTCCGTCTTTTCGGCAGTCATTGCGAGGTTGGCGATTTCCTCTTGATAAAACCACAAATCTTGCAATGGTTCGGTGAATGTAAACGAAAAATTGGCTTCAGCGATTCGGCGAGCACTGGGTTATAAACGTCGACGGGATGGTACTTTAACGGATAGATGCCTCCAATACATGGCTTTTTCCGGCCCTTGATTTTGAAGACTTTGATCGCCACACCATCAAATTCCCTTACCACAGAGCTGGACAGTTGCTTCGGTGGCTGGTTCACTCAGATGTGAGATCCTGGGATCTATCTGGAATCCACACAGAAGGTTTTCACAGCGGCGTTCATGCCAAACAGTAGATCTAACGAGGGCAGTGTCTGAGAATCATGGGCTGGATTACTCCTTGTCTTAGAATAAAGCGGCACAACTCGCGTTGCGGAAAGCCTGTCACGTAGTCCCATGGTGGCCGACGTTCCAACGTTGTCCCAGGCTAGATGGCGACACTTGATGAGAGAAAATACTATTCACGTGTGAGCAGCATCGCGACCTCGCAATGAATGTCAAAGCCGGCCGCAGACCATGGCGCCCATGTAGGACTTTTAATGTTCTACCCTGTTCTTGGCACTTCAATGTTGACATCTTCCACCCCGTTAGTCCTGCCCAGACTGCACCTGTGCCCAGGACGACGATGGTCGAGCATGGGGGTCCGCCAAACGGCATGTGTCGAGTCAAGTAACTTCAAATATTGGCTCATGCGAGCATTTATCAGAGACGAGGGTCGCAGCTTGAAGGCCCTGGTCACAAACAAAGGATTTCAATGTTGCATCTTCAGCTGCCGCAATAGCGTTGCGCAGCATGGACACCAACGGACCGCATGCGGCTTTAACCAGCACGGGGATGTGGCAGAACGTATCCTCGCCTCGTGTCCCTGTGAAACTGGCCATTGACTTCATCTGCGCAAGATTGGGAAACTGATCGGGTCCGGTTCATCTTCACCATCGCCAGTTGCTACCCAGTTCCTCAGGCAGAGTACCGCGTAGCTCAATACAAGCTGCAGGCCCAGGTGATGGCAGACAGTCAGGAAGTTGAGGGCTCTATAAGTTGCGGTAGAATCTTGTCCAACGGCTTTCCACCCGACGATCCGCCCAATGTATACGCGTGGATCGTGAATGCCAATACCACGTATGCTCGTCGATATTCCAGCTCAGCAGCCAGTTCAGGGCTTCTTAGAAATAGTAAGCGGTGTATTTTCTCTCCTATTTCGTGTGGATTTTACATCATCACGCAATGTGGCAGGTATCTTATCTCAGGGATCGAAGTAAAGGTTGGAAACCCGTTTCAGGGGTGACATCGGAAAGAAAACCCAGCGACTTGGAGAGCCCAAACATCTCCAAACTTGGTATTTTGGTAAACATTCTATTAAAGTACGGAAATGAATAGCAAAGTGTTAACTAGTTTGTCAGTGGACATCCTGTTCTTCCTGAACCACTTCTGAGGGGCTGCCAATTGTTTACGAGCTAATTATATACAGCAAGACAATAGGGAAAATAGCGTTGATCCCTGGCGTCATGCCGCAACGCCCAGTGTACGCAATCAACGAGAGCCACGCACCCTTTAACGCATTTAACAAGAGCTTCCAGCCACAGCTCTTTTGGACAACCCCATCTCTACCAGCTTGGCTCTTTGAGATAAGAAACGTTTGTGTTTTGAACCAGTTTGGTCTCAGCTCTTTTATCTGAAATGCTCATATACCTCGGGTATTTAAGTGAGATCCAGGCCGTTTCAGATATTCGACACAGGTGGTAACAATGAACCCATCCTCCAATATCACACGTTGCCAACGTGTAACCGCCATAAACCCATAGCCACATACTTCATTTTGTTTGGGGCAGTGCCCTTCCATTTCATCGAATTCTTCCATACTACTTCCGTCCGTTTGACACCCTGGCGCGGGTTGGTGGCCGGCCTCTTCGCTTTGGTCGACCTGGCGGTCTGCCCCGTCGAGATCCAGGTTCAACTACACTGTTCGTAGTTGGCTCAACGCTGCCAGAAGTGATTATATGTTTGGCCGGGTCGAGATTGTCAGCATTCGTTCTCTCACTTCGTCTCACCCCGATAACGCCAACCCTGCCACCGATGACTCTGCGCATCACATTCTTAGGTCTGCCACTTGAAGTATTCTTGGATATCACGGCAGCCCTCTTATCAACCCGGTTGGTAGCCTGATCTCGTGCGCTTAGCAAAACTCTTGGTCGACCTCTTCCGCGATGACCACCTCTCTTGGGCAGTTCGGCGACACTTTTGCTACTGCCATCAGCCTCCTTATATGCAGCCAGCCGAGTGCTTCGTTTGGGTTGTAGCACCACCTCAAGCCGATCTTTTGGGGGCACAGTCCAGGTCGCGGTGGATAAAGTGCTTTGAGTCCCAGATTGTGTGCGCTTTTGCTGCGGTTTCGAAGAGGACTTGCTCGCCAGGTGTGGCTTCTCTTCGTTATTGGACATGTCATTCATGTTCAAGGTGAGCTTTTTCTTTTGCAAGATCCAATCATCACCCAAGATCGAAGCAGCCTCCTGCTCGAGATACTGGTACGCACGCTTTCGGGGTCGTCCAGGGAATCTTCTGGACACATTCCGCGCCTCACTTGGCGGCGTACTAGAGCTGGTCGGCGGACGACGCCGAGGTTGGAGCTGAATCGGAGACGCCAGATGCCTGTCAGTAGTTCTAGATTCCTGTGCGATCTGTGTTCCGGGCGTGGCCGGGCTTGGAATGGCTCTTGGGGATGTTTTCCTGTTCAAAAACTCATCCGATTGCTTAGGTATTCCCAACGAGAGTCGCAGAGCTTCGTAGTCATCTTCATCCATCTCGAACGCTGTATCGACGGGACGTCTCCTTGGAATGGGGTCGATGGGAGCAGCGGGATGACCAGGTTCAATTTGTTGCATAGCTGGTGCCGTATTTTCGTCATTCAGTTGTGAGGATGGGATTTCTGCTAGGGTGTCATAGTCAGACTCGGTTTGGCACTCTTCCATGAGTGCCGGCTTGGCCATCCAATCTGGCCCCTGCACCTCGTTGCCGTTGCTTAAACTGGAAGGAGCATCTGGGGAGCCCGAGTCTCCTGCCCCAGTGGTCACATGAACCAGGGTAGTGTCTTCCTCCATCTCAAGGAAACTGAGAAAAGCAGACGCCTTCGTTGGCAGCTGTTCAAGTACCCAGGTACCTAGGCAAGCAGCCGAGTGTAAAATATTCGTAGATGGTCGCCAGATTTTTAGCTTGCTTGGAGAGGAAAGCAGTGGGTACGTTCAGGAGAGCGTAGAAGGCAATATTTCAATCTTCACACTGGCAGCAAGAATGTTACCGCAAGCAGGGCGAGCATGATTTGTTCACAGGTTCCGTTTGTCTAGTCACCAGCTGCGTAAATTCACAGACAGCTGGCATACACCTGCCAGCTAGCAACGCGTGACATTCAATGTTATGTGAGAATGCACTCACTCTCCTGTGAAATATCAAGCACCTACAGGTAGCTAGTTCACAAGGCCTCTCAACATTTGTCATCCATTTCGCCATTCATAAAATTCTCATGTCCGTTTCCATCATTCATCCCCAACGCCGTCAAACATGCAAATATCGACACGGCAGCTGTTCCCCACCAACCCCAGGCGACCATTCCAATGTCCAGCCCAAATCCATACCACTGCCCTCCAACCACGGTCCCTACGGTTCTGAAGCCGGCCGAGACGCTTTGACCCAGGCCGTGGATGGTCCCCAGGACGCTAGGATGGGGACTGCAGTTGTTCAATAAGAGAATGCTGGCCGGCAAAGTTAATGAACACGCCGTGGTGTGCAGAAGCAGAACCACAATCAGACCTGTCCATACATACGCGCCACTGGACGGCCGTGGTGGCTCTGCTGACGACGGAAGAATCGATATATATGGAGTCAAAAAGTACGCTACTGGAAACAGGAAAAGAAACCACCGAAATGACCGCAAAGTCCCCAGGCGAGTTTGAATGGATGGGTAGCAAAATATCTGGATGATCATCCCCAAAACGCCCAGGATCGAGGTGGCCAACCCCACCGTTGCTGCTGACATACCCAGACCCCCAGTGAATAGGAGAGGCAACGATTGTTTTTGAGCCGTGTGACTCGATGTTCGATATCTAGGAGTTGAGAGAAACAGGGTCCAAATATTGGCAAAGGAACCGAGGTGAAAATCGTACAGGGCACTCGTGAGCAGGGTAGATACAGCATTTCGAGTCCAGAGTTGGTTGAATGACAATTTTCCCGTTGTCTTCTGTCTGCTGTACATTTCTACACGTTGTGTAGTTATGAGCATGTCCTCACCTTTTGGCAGGGCGTGATACGACTGCTTGCTGGCATGCTCGAAGATCTTTGACTTGATCATGTTGCCTAGATACAAGCCAAAATCGAAATGTCTGCTCCTGCCGCCCAAAGTCTTCTCGTCTGTTAGCTCCCCCAGAGATCAATCGACTCCAGCATATGGCCACTCACCTCTTCGAGAAATAGATAAGTTGCAATGGCCGAGATGGTCAGAAGAAGGGCGTTGACAATACTAGGTAAGGCATATGGATTCTGGTATATCCACTGCGATTCAAATATCGCTGCTTCGCCAAATACCTGAGGAAAGGTCTCGATCGGATTTGCAAGCAGGCCCCCTAGAACTGCCACACGCATCAGTACCACACATCTGGGAGTTTCCAATGAAGGCATTCTTACTTGGGCCGATAATGCCTGCTACATGGAAGCTCATTGGTAAGATGAGAAAGGTCAGGGATCGGTATCTCTTCTCTACTGTAACTTCTGCAATCATGGTCCGACTAATCGTGCAGAAATAAGCAGGGTGCCTGGATAGATCAAGACCGCAGTACTTACGTGATGCCGACAGCACCATTGATGGCGCCGCCCAAGGCTCTCCACAATGCTGCTTCGTAAAATGAAGTTGAGAATCCATATCCTACGCATGATGCAGCTGTACCAGCGAGGCCGATGAGAAGCACGCGCTTACGGCCACACCAACTGGCGTCCGCGGCCTTGCCCCAAAGGATTGCAGTGAGAGCTTGAGCACCAGTAAAACAGCCCTGCAGTATGCCGGCTTGTTTCGATATCTCTGCATCTGAGAGCCGGTCGTCAAAGTGTTTGAGTTGGAAGAAGATGTATGCCTGTAATGAAGCCACCTGCAAGAAGTCGACGAAACGAGATGCGAAGAGAATAAGAAGCTGGTCTTTCCGTGGCACGGCACGCCAGCTAATCACCTCCTTCGGTTGGTCCTGGTCCTTCTCATGATAGAAGGCAGATGAGGCGGCAGGATACGCCCGAAACCTTTCCATGTCTACCATATTTGCAGAACTGTCCCTCGCTTGAGGATGTTGTTTGTCGCAGATCCTTGCCTTGGGCGTCTCGTCTGACCAACGAAACCATCTGTGTCGGCTCGCCATAACTTAGCACATCGGTTGTTGCTGCCAACTTGACCAAGGTATGATCTGTATATCCTCACGAAATCTGATTAATAGGGCATGAAAGGGTACACCGCATAGATCATTCAAGGAGGTAATACGGAGGTAGATTGATAACCAGGGGAATTTGATAAAAGCAGATTGACACCAATGATCTGATGCTCTCAGATTGATGCTTCGGCGTCGAGGGCCTGTTGGAGGTAAACCTCGAGCCCAACCGTTCTCGCCGTCCTCTGTTCAACCGCTTGGATTGCGACAATGGACCCAGGAGGCTCGCCGAATCGGCACCACACTGTAGCTACCAGACGCTAAAGAAAGAACGCCTGAAAGCAATGCATCGGAAGGCACATGCTTTACAATAAGTTGCTTGGATTCGTCCAATGCGCACTGCTGAGGCCTCGACGTCGGCCGCAAGTCGGAAGCCTCGGAGTGTTGGTGTCTTGGCGGCAAGAGGAGGTCGAAGACACCGCCGCAGAAATGAAAGGAGCGTTTGGCGTATAGGCTTGCTTACGCGTCTGATCTGTTGATAAAAAATAACGGTGTTGAGATATCACATATGAAGGATGGCGAGCTGGAAGAGTTGGTTGATAAGCACGCATGTGTGTGAGCCGCGGCCAATGGCTCCTTTCGACTGCGCCAGCGAGGGAGGCAAGTTATTGCACAAGGGCAATGTGGTGTACGCGCCAAGGATACGGAGTACACCAAGGGCAAAAGCGCACGCGAAAGATGATGTCGTACCAGACACCATTGGTCAGTACTAGAAAGAACGTTCGAAGCTTGTGCGAGCAGGAATCCCCCAGAACCTTAACGGCTGCTAACATTACCCGGAAACGATAGCTTAGCCCCTCTGCAAGACGCGAACGCATATGTCGGAATAAATGGCTGCTGTGGAGGAGCCCAAAAATAGACTTCTAAGCTTCTAGCAATGGTCCTGTCGTCGCAATTCCACAGAAGACAGTCTCAGCTTTGGGTCGTCGCAATACTGTCGACTTGGTGGTTACGTATGCTTCTTTCAATTGCCAGCCACCACCGAATTGCGGGTCATCGGGCCTTTGCTGGTGTTGGAGAATAAACGACCAACTCCAGCTGCGACTACAGGAATGACCCTTGCCTAATTGATGGAGGGGCTTGGTAGCACCGGGCCAAGGGTTGTCAGTGGCGCGTTTGGTTTGAGCCTCTTGCAGGGTAAGGGGGGTTAAACAGGAAACATCCACTTCTGAGCATACGAAATGTCTGACCACAGACTCAGCTATTGACGATTTGGACACGTTCACGCAGGCGTGAAACAAACTTCCGTTGCCCTCGGTCCCTTGCCAACAGCCACCAGGCTGTGTGGCTTCGCAAGTCAGGGGTCTAGAGACTCTAATAAACGACGACAGGTGGGATCTACTAATTGATCCGCAGTTGTTCAGCTTACAGAAATCAAAATACATCAACCACGGAATCCACACCAGTGTTTTAGAGCGAATCTAGTATATTGCTGGTAAATTTCTTATCCGGCCCCTTCACGTGGGAAAGAAGACCGTTTCGGTTTCAACACAGGCCGATGGTAATAGCCAAGACCAAACTATGGCTGCTCGGAGCAATTGTTCTCGTGGAGCCGTTGGGCTTGGCGAAGACGGACGTGGCGCTCGGCAGCCCGTCCTACGCACCCCCTCCCCTCCTTTCTACAGTGTTTTTGTGGCTGCTTCACATTCAATCCCTACCAGTTCTTGAACGCCGGCTTCTGTGGCTGGCTTTAGTTGACACGATAGTCGGCAGAACATGGCATGTACTGCCAAAGTACCTTCTTGTACATTGGAGTCTAGAGAAGGCTGACGTGGTGAGGGTCTTGCGCGTCCCGGACATATTCTCAAGATTGTACTCCCCAAATTTGTCTCCCACGGCACGCTATCGCCGTTTCGCCTAGCTTTTTCGGGAGAGCAGCATCAGTCACGTTTTCTGTTCCATATTTTAGTCCTATATGTCCATGATCAATAATCTGGGGATACTTTCTTTTAGCCTTTTCTACCCCTGGTGGTGATCCCGTGTTAGTTTCGAATATTGCCACCATAAACCTTCTTCCCTTTAACCTCCTAGACGCATTGGGTGTTACAAGCTGTTTCTTCCTCAAGTGTCGTCAACTCTACGGTGTGGTTCTGCAAGGACAAGTTCGTACGACGTCGCGGGCTTTGTCACCACCATGGCCACCATGTTTCCGGTCCTCAACCTTGTGGTATCCCTTCACGATAGTATTTCAAGGCCAGGACGTCGGGAATCTCGACTGTGCATCCGGCTGTTACACGGAAATGGCCCTATTAGACCAGGGCTACGGTCACTGGACCTAGGGTAAAGTCCCTCGCCGACTTCTTCTCTTGAAAGAGGTCTTTGGTCAATGAAGCCTTGAGGAAAACCAAGGACCTTTGATACCAAAGACTGTTATTGGATGAATTGAGCTATTGACTCCAAGCCCTCTATCGAGCCCTTGTCACACCGGCCGTCCCAACAAGCGGAAGCTCAAGGAAGGACAAGCAGGAAAGTGTGGGATTACGGAATTAGCTCATTTCAAAGGCCCGAATGAGGCTGTCCTGTAAACAAAATCTTGGGTGAAAAGGGTGCGACGGGGCTAACACAGTTCCGAGGCTGTGACAAAGTGCAACAACGAAGGCTTTGGAGCAGGCACTAGCTGCGAGGAGGGGAAATAATGTCGTGGCGGATAAGGGCCCTACTATGCAAAGCTGAAGATGTAGCTTGAGTACTCAAGGTACGCACGCTCGACTACCACCCATGTTAATCTCAAGTCGCTGATTTTAAGGCAATAGCTACAATATTAGGGCCCAATTACCTCTACACCCAGACTATAAACGTTATCTATAGTCTAGGCTTCTTTATCTTATACTTCTTTACTAGCTAGTTAGGTCTTGCTATTGATTTCACGGCAAAACACTCATTAGAACCTCAAACAAGCCCTATGGCCGAGAATATCGGAGAATATTAAGCGTTTCAACAACATCTCAAGCAGCTAGATTCGGCCGGATTACCTGCTAGCCTTGATAGCTAGATTTGACTATTAAAAAACTTAAATCCCTCAATAGCTAGGCTTAATAGAAGGACCTTTCTGACGCTCCTATTATATTAAAGATGTAAAGCGGGAAGCATCATTTGGGCCATGGGAGGCAAGGGAAACAAATTCAAGGAATTGTCGGGTGGCAAGGCGACCAACTTTGCTTTCCAACACGAAGTCCGGTGTGACAATGACTACAAGGAAATTACCCTCTTCGACAATAGCCACGGCGGAGAGCACTGGAAATCGCTCACCCCAGAGGCATTCGACTCCGTGTCGACCAACTCTTCATGACGGGCAAGCTCATCATCGAGACAAAAACCCAACTCACGGTCCCGCTGCGTCGCAGGGCTCGATGCGAAATCTCCCCAACGGCCACGTCCTTGTTGGATATGGCTTCAGTGGTGTATTCAGAGTTCACGCGCGGCGGCAAAGTCTTGTGCGAGACGCACTTTGGTCCACAGAGTCGATTCGGCGCCGGTGATGCCCCGTCATACGGGTTGTTTCAACATTCGAATCTTGTGGACCTGCTTCAGGTTAGGGATTAATGCTAGACCGGTGGTGAGGGCAGAATCGTGGCTGGCAACGGGTCCTTGATAGATGTGTGAGCGGAAATGCACGTCGACATGAGTCCAAGCCAATTCGGTGGAGGCACCGGAATGTGGGAGGGCGCAAGCCGCTCAGGGACCCGGGCGTCGTCATCACTGGAGGGTGTAGCCGAGCCAATGACTACCATGCATGGAGCTGATGGCCTCCCGTTGAACTGTATTTAGACACGGCTGAGCTTGGTGAAGAATGATGATGATGATTTGCGAAACACGCGTCACGATAGGCCCAGTCGCCCACAACCCGGCGCTTGGGTGACGAACAGCGAATGCTACTTTGTGCGTGGCGCGGATACAGCCGCCCTGGCAAGCGCCGGCAATAACGACGGCACCTGGGATCATCAATTTGACAGAAAGTGCACCATCGGGGCAGAAGGAGGGAGCGGTGGCCAAGAATGGGGGATTGGGGCTGGGCATCAACTGAATTGCCTGTCAGGACGGCATCTGGAGCTGCGGGTTCTAACCAAGACGACTTTGACCCCAAGTTTGAGCTGATGGCTTTCAAAGTGTCAACTTGCCTGCCCCACCGTCGAGCGCTGAAAGCTCAGAAGCTTAGAAGCCGCGTCATCAAGCCTCCCCGCGCACTTGGTCCAAATGAAACTGCCGCAAGCAAACTAGCAGTCCCCTAGAGCCACAAAGCAGCCGTTTATCCGTTCTTTTCGCCTAGTTTTTGGTTTGCCAAGACAACCGCCAAGGCTGGGCTGTCATTGCACGCGGCAATGTCACCAGCAAGTCACCGTGCTGTACGCCAATGTGCCGTCTCAGGGCAGTTGACAGTACCCAACATCAATTGATCTTATCGGCGACAAGCCCCTATGCTACCGGGCTCATCCATGCAAGAAGGCCTGGGGCTTGTGATGCCCCTGCGCGCATGTCTCCCTGGTGGAGAGACGACACTTGCAAACCAAGCGTCAGTTCTCGCGGCCGAGTCGTGACGAATCCTCCCAGTGCCGGCATTGCGTCTCGGTTGCGTCGAGTTGTACTTGCTGCAAAACTTGAGGCCTGTTCAATTGGCCCCAGCCTCATGACGGAAAATAAAGCCAAAAACAGGCCCTGCTCGCCGGGGAGACCGGGGTATCACACGCTTACAACTATAGTCTATCGGCACCATCTCCCCGTGCCTCTTTTTTTAATCATGATAGTCTGGATCGTCGGCTGTTGTACGTCTTGGCAATTCCCGGCTCACCAAGTATCGGCCCGTCGACGCCGACCATGACGACGACGGCACTTCCGATCCTATTCAGCCGGAAATCACCCATCTTCATGCCGTACTTGATATAACGCTGGTCAAGTGATTCCATTCCCTTCAGCTTCGAGAGCACAGTTCATCCCCTCGCTGTTCCTCATCTAGCCCTCATTATTTGCTCCTTTACGAATTTCACGAAATCGCCCCTTTTCCAGCCCATCCAGGATTAAAACATCCTCCCGTCCTACTTCACGCAACACATGCCAAGACGAGAAAAATGCACCATGCTTCAAAATACAAGCCCAAGCCCTTCACCGACATCTTCACCCCCGACACCGACATCAACCGCAGCAAATGCGTCCGCACCGTCCCCATGAAAGTCCTCATCCTGGGGCTAGACCGCACCGGCACCACATGTAAGCAACTCACCGACCCGTGTGCCCGCTCACTCACTAACAACAAGCAGCTCTCCGCGCCGCCATGAAGCGCCTCGGCTACCTCGACACGTACCACATGACGAGCTGCCTCGAGAACCCCCCCGACGCGCTGCTCTGGACGGACGCCCTCTGCGCCAAGTACGACGGCGCCCCTCGCCGGCCCTTCACCCGCCGCGACTGGGACCGCCTCCTCGGCCACTGCCAGGCCGTGAGCGGCTGGCCCGCCGCCGCCTTCGCCGCCGACCTCGTCGCCGCGTACCCCGAGGCCAAGGTCGTCCTAACCACCCGCGACGTCGACGCCTGGCACGCCTCGGCCCTCAAGACGCTGTACTGGCGCGCCACGGACCCCGAGCTCGGCTACCTGTCGTGCGTGGACTGGGCCGCCGGCATGTACTACCCCCTGCTGAGGAAGCTGTTTGACACCTTCTTCGAGGGGGACTTTGCCGGCCGGGGGAAGGAGGTCTTCCGGCGCCACTGCGAAGAGGTTCGCCGCCTCGTGCCGGGGGACCGGTTGCTCGAGTATCAGGTCACGGAGGGCTGGGGCCCGCTGTGCAAGTTTCTGGGGGAGCCGGTGCCGGAGAACGCTGCTTTTCCGAATGTCAATGACGACGAGGAGTTTGTGCGCGAGTCGCGAAGCCGCAACAGGGACCAGATGAGGAATGTGGCGTTTCGGATACTGGTGTGGTTGCTGGTGATGCTTTTTGCTATTGGGCTGGTGTGTCGAGTGTTTAATGTTGGCAGGGTTGTTTATACGCTGGCTGTGCCGCTGGGATACGAGGTTGCTCAGATGTAAAGTCTTTTCTGGGGAGGGGTGCCAACGGCCCTGTGGCGTTGTCTGCAGTGTTGGGGTTTTGGGCGTGGCTCTACCTATGGGTTTAAGATAGGCGTGCTGGTAAATTATTTCCTTCAAGACGGTGTATTATGAACCTTGTCGCCGTATGTTGTCCTGTGCCATCATTGATGGGAGCATCAAGGCCAAAACGTGGCAAATCCCCCGTTGGCTCCAAGGTAGCCACCTTCCCGCCTTAGTATCCCCAAGTAACAATGGCATTTTCACTGCGTGGTAATCGTTTCTATCCAGTATCTTGGAAATTCAACCTACCAACTATTTTATTGCCAATCTCAACTTCAATGTTCGCTTTGCGCGCAGTCAATAAAGCTCGGGCATCTTCCGCGCCCCCCACGCTCCGACTTCCCCTTTGGGATGGGCGTGTGCGAGATGGTTGGTCGACAATGTCGCATGGTGGCGGGTTTTTGTTTGTCGCCGTTTTGTGGAAGCGCCCGCGGATGTGCTCTTTTGTATGTAGATTGCATGTCTCGTGCGCAGAGTTGAGATTGGATGTGTAGCCTAGGTGAGCTGTCGCTGCCGAGCGATTCGCCGCAGGCTGAACACTTGCCCCCCATGTACTCTGTACGGACGTTTAGTCAAGACTAACACGGGGAAATAGTGGTTGCACCAGGCGCATCTACCGTCTGGTCTGGTTCTAAATTTACTTGTCAGGTGCTTTGCTTACTTGGTTCCCGAATACCACCGTGGTCCACCGGTGCGCTTGAATCCAGATGGGCTTGCCCCGTACCATGGAGAAGGACGGCATCGCTGGCCGGAAAATAGGTGCCGCTTATGCCGCTTGCTTTAAGCACGGAGTCGTTTATATATTAGGCGGAGGGGTCTCCACGACATGTCTTTGCATCTTTCCAAATATTGTTTCTGCTGCCTCCATGTCTGGTCTTCTCCTGGTGCTGTATCTTGCGGGATGGCACGCTCCCTGTCGGCTTGCTCCCGAGGTTGAATTATGCCTTGACTTCCACGTGGAATACCCGATATGCACACACTGGACAGGCAATACACATTGACACTGTTAGCTGACAGTCCTATGTCAATTCTCACATAGTATTACATATCAGCGAGGATGGACGGGCGCCAAGGAAATGGCAGGTTTGTCCAGCCTTGGCGCTCCCAACCAAGAAGCCCATCGCCACGACGCCAAGGCGGCAGCCATCAGATGAAATTGTGGAGTGGGCTTGGCGAGATTGACGACAATCCAACGACACGCAGGACCAGAAAACAGCTTTATACTTGTGGCGGTAATTTTTCTCCGCAGGCTATCAAAATGCAACATAAATAGACCACATCATCCAACATGACTAGGCCTTTACTTGATAGCTAGTTTCTCTGGTACATGCTCATCTTGCGCAACGTCGACGCGCTCCGAGTCAACTTTGCCCAAGCCAAGCTGAGCAGTATCCCAGCCACGGCTCTCGAGAAACTCACGGAAGCGCACATCTTCATGAGTAATGGTGTCCTGGCCAATGTTGGGGATGAAGAAGAAGGCAATGGCGGCTGACAGAATCGACAGGCTGGAAGCCACCCAGAATGGATACTGCGCCGACTTGACTTTGTCATCGCCACCAGCGGCCTGGATATAAGGGAAGACCCAAGTCCCGACAAAAGCACCAATCTTGCCGATAGCGGCGGCAATGCCATAATATCGACCACGAACACCAGTCGCACACGTCTTGGCAGCCAACAGACCAATGTTGTTGCCAGGGCCAAGCTCGCCAAGAGTAAGGAAGATCCCGTACAGGACAGCAAATCCAGCAATATGGTTGACAATCTTGCCATAGACTCCAGCCATGATGTATCCAACCACAGCCTGCACGAGAACGCCACCAATAAGGGTATACTTGGGCCCAACCCAGTCAGAAACGAAAGCACCGAGCATCGTACCGGGCAGGTAGAACAGGTTGATTACCGTGTTCCAGCCAAAGACTGTGGTTAAAGGGGCGTCGCCATCATAAATTCCGGAAAGAATGTCGGATGAATAGATGCCGAACGCATACGTGGAGAAATCGTAGAGGAACCAGATCGTGCTGACGCACAGCAGACGGAACCAGTAAAATCTCAGCACTAGGAGGTACGGCGTCTGCTTTCGCATCGACTCTCTGGAAAACTCCTCGGGCTCTTTCAGTCGCAATCGCAGAATGAAGAGAACCAGGGGGAATACTATGCCGATGCCCAAGCTGGTGCGCCAGATGGTCGAGAGATTTTCGTTGTGGCAGGCAGCGGCGACAACATCTGAACCACCGTCAGCAACGCACCTTCTCATGGTATCGCCATGCGAGCCGTGTCTAAATACTTACATGGGACAAAGGCACCGAACACGAAGCCCCAGTCAATCATGGAGTTTGTAAACAGGATGAACCATCGATTCCGGGTGCCGCTTTTGAGCTCGCCGCTGGACTCAGCACAACCAACACTACCAGCAGGGTACTCGCCTGATGCGCGTCAGCATTGGGTCAGCGTTGTCATTTGGGTTGCGCTGCCACTACGCGGTCGCATACCTCCAATGCCGATACCGACAAAAAACCTCCAGGCAGTCAACATATTAAACATGCCGACAGCATCTCCCTTAAAATACGAGCCCGTGGCCAAAGCAGTAAAAATAATGAGGATCAAGGTCGACACAACAAGGGAGTTGGTTCGCGACCAGTGGTCAGAGGTGAAGCCGAAAATGAGCTGGCCGACTACCGTACCAGCAAAGGCAATATCTGCGACATACTTGGCAGCATTGGACGACGTGTAGACGGTCTTGTACTGGAGCTTGAGCACAGTGTTGACTGACCCAATGACCTATAGAATCTCCGATATTAGCAATTCCCATTCGATCTTCAACTTTACAAGGCGCAGTCATTACTGCCTCTTCACCGGTGCGTACGTTGTTGATGTAGCCGTCAGAGAACAGTCCTGCGCCGCAAGCAAAAACAGGCATGGCAGCCTGGAAGAATGGTTTAGGCTCAAGAGCTGTCTCGATAGCAGGCTGTTGGCCGTTCTCTTGGCCTCTGCTGCCCTCAATCTTCTCCTCTTTGAGATTCGACATGGTGGATTTTGCTGTGGTGAGTGTCTGTCACAATCGAAGGCCACTACAAGGGGCAAAGCATCTGACGGGGAGAAAAGGCGACAGAAGAGCAATCTCGCAAAGACGCACAGACAACCGTGCAGCCGTACAACGAGGAAGCAATGGTTGGCCAATAAGAAGGGCTCAGCCACAAGCACTCTCCAATGATGGTCAAAACACACAAGTCATCAGAAGCTGGCGGGAAGATGTTGCACAAGGTCGGATTGGGTAACCACCTTGCACTGGGCTTAGGGGACGCCGGCTCTTTTGTACGAACGGAAGGGCCGTCATCAAGGATGGCCCCCAGAAAATGCGAACGGTTCAGTGTTTGTTGTTCCAAATGAAGATGGGTCCAATGACTGCGGCTAGTAGACAGTCGTCAACGGTCCATCAAAATCGATTGCAACCCTGGCTGCCCCATCGTCAACGCTTACCCACCCTTGCCACCCCAGAGACATTACTATCGTTGTTTCACTCCATAGAACTTGGAGTTCAGAGGACCAACACGCCGTTTTTCGTGTCAGCGTCATTCATGATACCGCATGTTGTTGAATGAACTCTGTGGTCGCTCCCCGACAATGGCTGATGATGGCGTTGAAGCCCCTGGTCGGCGCAGCGCGGTCCATGGATGCAAGGGTTTTGGTGGATTTGGAGCCGCGGTGGCGCCAAGTCGGCTCCAGGGCAAGTCTCCGCAAACCGCTAGACCGTTGTGCTATCTGCCATTAGCTCAGCGTGCAGCCTTGGATAGGCGGAGCGCTGTGTCCGTCAATCTCTTGAATTGCACCGCAATACGGGGAGGCGAAGAGGGGAGAATATCGAGATGCGGGCCCTTGGCTGGTGTTTCGCAAAAAGGAAGCAGCGGCCGCAATGAGAAACAGCGCACGGGAAGGTGGCGCCCACAAGAAAATTGCCGCCAGGCTCCCCTTGCACTTTGCTCCTGAACATGGACAACTGCAACCAATTCAATCCTTCAACCAGCACCAGCGGTCAGGTCAATCCCCAATCTTGCTCACGGCCACTGCAAGCTAAACCCGCATTGTCGCTCTGACGATGGAGCAAGCTACAGTAGCACCGTTATCAACATGCAAGAGCCAGATTCGGTCCTTGTCTTGCCCACGTGTTCACAAATACACTTGGTAGGGTCAGATTCTCCACTTGGTCCTCGTTCCAATGGCCTTTCTTCTGTCGGTTAACGGCACAATGGGATATGACGTTGTCATGTAAGATGGGGTGAGCATCTTGGTCTTGGTTGGGCAACGCGGGGTACCTGTTGCCAGCAGGATGTTGGCTTGACCAATTCCGTTGAACAACTTTGCTCTGCAAAAATGGCCGGGGTCCATTGTTTTTCAATCTCTTTCTATCTCTTTCTCTCTCCTGTCGGCCATCCCTTCAAACAAGCAATGTCCTCCGAATAACATCAACAGCGGCAGAATCGAGACGACTTTCGAATTCCATGGTTCTTGGCATCCAGACTCTGTTGGAGCGTGTAAGCGACCCTTGCTAGCTTGGTAGAATGAAACTGGGGTAAATGGTTGCCGCCAACTTTCGGCACCAACTCGGGACGGGAACACCGAGTGAGATTCCACATCGAGGTAAGCATGAGAGAGAGCCTAGAACTAGGTGAGTGCTCACCCGATTCGAGCCCTACTTTCCTTCTGAAGTTGGTGGCATACTCTCGGGGCTAGGCAGCAAGTCGTTTCTCATTTGATTCTCATGACAGCTTCGTTGATCTCATGAATCCTTGCGACACAGCACCTAGTCTCACATCACTGCGTGGTACACCCCCATCACCTTCAAAATGCAGCAGCGCGCGACAAGGCTGTGCAGGTTTAGCTGGATGTACCAATAGGCGGCGGATCCTGAGTGTCGATATGGGTTTCTATGCCGTCTGTCCATGTCGCCACATGGCACAAGAAAATTTGATACAGCGTTTCAAAGTACCCCGGGAGCATCACCGAGTATTCTCAGACGTCGAGTACTATTTGGAGAGATGGGCGCAAGACAGTTGGGGAAAATGTGGTAAAGAGAGGAATACCTCTACTTTGGCGTGAAAGAGAATATAGCTCAAGAATAGTTAACGCCAGGACATAGACAACGGTATTTGAAACATGAGTCCACACTCGCAGCAGAGCTTGGAGACTTTGATTGCAGGGCCCGGGTCATGGCAAATGATGCTGTATGATGGAAAAATATGGACGAGACGGATCCAGCAGGTGATACTAGTATAGCTGAGATTTTGCGGTTTAGCCGGCACCCACAGGTCCATCCAATTACTTTATTTGCATCATGTGTTGGCAAGTCTCGCTCTTGGTTGTCGGGCCCTAGAAGAGGACTGGGATCCGACAGTGAGACATCGTACGTCCCAGCCATGAGGTTGCCATTGGCCTCACGGTGTAGGAGGAAGCAAAGGCGGCACCAGCTGGCTTCCATCGAGGTTCCCCGTCTGGCACGATTCGCGTGACCGTATGTCTACGTAGAGGTCAACGTGCTTCTCTCTGGGCGTTCACAGAGAACAACACTGAACGGTCTGTCTACGCGCCAAAGGCTGCTGGAGTCTAGTATTCCAGAAAATTCGTCCTCTAGACTTTTGTATATCATCATCATTAGCTGAGGGTTATTTCGACAAATGCAGCATCGGATATGGTATGAATAAGAATCGACCCGGAGAAGGAAGGTAAAGTAGCGAGAGGAATTTCCATTAAACAAGAGGAGTTCGTCCCTAAAAAGTAGAGTACATCGCCTTGTGGTGTGAGTGTTGGTACGCCGAATGGTGTTTCGATACAGGATACAGGGCTGGAGCTTGGGAATAAGGATGGAGAGAGGGCACGGCGAGGGGGAGCCAGCAGAGAGGGCCTGGTCCTTTTATATTGACATCAATATGTCAAATGTGTGCTCTCCGGGGCAATCTCCGCCTCACCTAAGCCACGCAGTCACGTGTGCAGTAGTGACCAAAATCTTCGCTAGCTAGCTGCACTTTTTTCTGATCATTATCAAGCACTTGACCTTTTATTGCAATACAAATTTTCAGTTGCATCACAGGCTCTAGGGAGCCACGCCGAATTCAATCATGGAAGGGCAACAGACTCCAGCTCAACCTGAACGTCACGTCTTTTTAAGAGAGGGGACTGTCATCTTGCGTTGGTTATTCGGATACTACGATAAGCGAGGCTTACAGGGCTGGACCACAAGCCCACACTGGCCCCACACATTATCCACCTGGGTGCCGCAAAAGCCAAAAACGCGATTTAGAGAGGCGACCCTTGTAAGCATGGACGTCGACGAGCTCAAGGAGAGCGAAGGAATTCCCGTACAATTCCACATTGGCATCTCAGTCCTGCGCACCCAGGATCTGCACGACAAATGCCACTCGCCTTTATCACACGCAGATTCTAAGTCATACATTATCCGATCCTACCACTGGGTTGTCGAAGATGAGAATTATTTTTCAACCCATGACAATACTTTTTGCTTCGGGAAACATCGCTGTCTTCCACTTGCTGACTTGGACAAGCGCTTAAAAAAGCTTCTTGCACGATGCTTTCCAGTCATTCTCGTCGTTCACGGAGGCCATCGTGAAATAACCCTCTTACAAAAACTTAATATCAATCTCAACCCCATTTTCACGATTGACACGACAAAAGCTGCTCGCTACCCACTCCAGGCTTTCTACGACTTTTCGCTAAAAAGGCTTCTGAAAGAGTTTAATATTCCCTTTACTGGCGAACATCTTCACATTGCAGGCAACGACGCACACTTTACACTCAGGGTTTTGCTCATGATTGCAGTGACCGACGTACGACGGGAGTTGGGGTCAAAAGAGGTTCCGGCATGGGTGCCCGTGTTCGAAGCAATTGCCCGGGCCCCATTGCCCCCGATGCCACTCAAGCGTGCACAAAAGGCAGCCAGGAAACGAAGAGAGGAGAGGGCTGCTCTTGGACTTGGGGGGCCTAACGTTGTGACAAGGTCTCAAAGCCGGCTTGCAGACGCAACGCATCTATAACAACAGTCTTTGCCATCAAAGGTCCTTGGGTTTGAAGAAGACATGGTCGGGTATTCGAGGGGGGGCGGCTGCCTGCGGCTCTGCAGTGGATTCAGGCAGCGATGGGATGGTGATGCGAGGACCTTTCGACGTTTGACTGAATCAGTATCGCCGGTAACAAGCGTAGCTGTGACTGCATTGCTTTCATGTCGTTCACGCACGGATGCGACCAAAGGATAGAGTCGTTGAAGTTCTCGGACGGGATGCTAAGCCCGTTCATTAGAGACGCCGGAGTGGAAGGAATGTCAGAGGCCGTGGTTGGGGCCTAGTGACAAACACTAGCATGTCCGCTGGTTCTCGATTGGTATATCTGCAGATTGCTTGCGCACAAGACGATGATGCGAACGAGTGTCTAGCCTGTTGATTTTGTTCAAGGTGGTACTAGTTACCCAGAATATGACCAAATAAGGTGCCCGAATTCTAGAGACGTACCATGGTGTTTTTGCATAGTATTAGTCAACCTTGTGGTCAAACTGTTCTACGCGAGTTGGCATGACCTTTCAGAATATTACTCTCACATATTCAAATCAAATGTTGTCCTACCAATGCAGGACACTGTATTTCTCCGTTCCAGAGTTTCCGTTTATGAATCAATAGGGCTGCTTTTATGTAAAATGCCCGTAATACACTAAAATGCCCTTGTCTATATCCTGGCGTTGACCATCCTTGAGCTACATTCTCTTTCGAGTCGAGGTAGAGATATTCTGCTATCTACCATATTCTCTCCAACTACTCACGCCTATGTCCGAGTCTTGATAAAATAAAGTCACAGGTTTGGTACGTATACTGGATGGCTCGGATCTCCATCCTGGGACGGGGATGCCATCATTGACACCATATCTAGTTCTGTTAAGAAACAAAAATACCCTTCTGCCGTGTTCTATTCCGTCATGGAAAGAGTCTTGAGAATCCACACCTTCTCCATGACGTTTTGGTGCCCCTGATGTCGAATTAACGTTCTTTACATGCCGTGTAGGTTTCTAGCTCAAAGAAAACAGCTTACAACCGCTGTGATTGAGCTTTATCAACTTGGCTCATGTATCCTATCAAGGCGAGCCATGGGTCCCTTGTTTCCGAATGCGTGTGCATTGGGGAAATTTGTGGGGTTTGGAGAAACGACATGAAGCAAGCCAAACGCGCGGTGTCGTCGTAGCTGGCGCTCTCTTGTAAGGCAATCTCATACTTTTATATGGATTACACAGCATATACCGCCCATTCATTTGAAGTCAAGACGTGTTGCGCAATGGCTTCACATACCTAGTTGAATAGATGAGCAAACCTTGATCGAAATATCGGGATACTTGAGCCATTTAGTCCGTGTACCTTGAATGAAGTACATAATGTCTAAATATGATGATGAGCAATGGACAAACGATGCGGCCTATTCTCTTTCTCTCACAAACAAGTCCATATCGCGTCTTGCAGTGCTTAACTGGAATCACCGTCGGCCACGGCGTATCGCCTTTAATTTATCGCAAGATGATGTCGGCCCTGTAGTGTCTAGTTCTGTGCTGGTATCTCTCTTTAGGCCGCACTACCTCACTTTTAACACCGGAAAGAAGCTCACGTTATACGCCATGTCGAACGTCCCCCAGGAAGCCGTCCGATACAGTCTGGTCACTCTTTGTGGGACAATCATCTAGATTGTTGCCATCATTTGCCAAGTTGCGCAACAGGATCAGAAGTTACAACAGTACTCATCTATGGCCATAAAAAACGCAAGCTCTAGAGTCATATAAGCCCCTTGCCTGTTAACCATTTATGTGCCACGACATACAATCGAATCAGCTCATCCTGTACTTTGACATGGAGTCAGCCTGGCGACACGACGCCCACACACCGAAATTTTGTCTTTCAACAGTTCCGACCCTTTTTCGCATCCCTAGATGTAAAATGTTGGAACTAAACCTCCAGACAGTCTGTTTCCAAGATGCCCTACTGTCTTGATGACAACGATGCGGTCTGTATTGGAGCTTTACTTGCTGCAAGATACGACTTGGTCACTTTAACTTCTGGCAAGACGGTTTCTGCAAGGCTGCGACAACCAAGGTCTTATCTAACCGTGAGATATCCTGTCGAGCGTGATGGGGATTAGAACAGATGGCAGGCAATCCTGGACACGCAATTGTTCGTATTAATGAGAAAATCTGACACTACCACCGTCAACATGAGACCGACTTGCATACGGCTCTGCCTCTGCCGCAGAGCAAGTTTCTCGACTCAGTGGTTGAGCTCTGGGGATGGCTGCTTCAAGAAATACACCTGGTTTATGAGGCCTGTCAACTCAGTTACGCATGTACTCTTCACTCATCCAGGAGACGCGTCCAGTTTTGAAGCAGCAGCGGCAGTAATTGACCAATTTTTATCATGATACTGTCAGTAACGATCCCAGCCAGAGCGCAGTCTCATCATGCCAATTATGAATGATACCCCATTCAATGCCGATAGATCAAGCGAGGCAAGTCGACAGGTCGTGTCGGCCAAAAGCATTGATGTATTCTTAGCTTCGGATCCTGATCTAACAAGAGTAGATGTAAAAGGTGTTTATGAGTGGGAAACTAAGGGATGAAACGCATAGAGCACAAGAAACTAATTGGCATATCCATTATTTCACATATTTGACAACTTCCTTAAGACGTTGTAGGAATCCTTGGAGAGAATTGGAGAAGGAATTAAGTATCATAATCTCATTATTCATCCCTCTTTGAGTAAATAAACGGCTATTAACTGCTTCAACCGGTTGAACTAGTCCCCGTTGGTGATGTTCTCACTGACAGCTTCAATGCGACGTGGTATAAGTCTCAGACAACGTCAAAGCAAGGCGACTATGGTTGGAATTGTTTTTGCACCGGAATATCAAGATCATTTGCAAGACTGGGTGACTCCTGCAGGCAATGCCAGTGAGAAACGTAGATGGTCGAAAAGCGGCTCTATTACTAGCACACCATCGCAGCCATGCAAGTATGCTATACAGAATCGTGTTACTAGACTTGGATTGAGATGCAGTCGTTCAGTTCAACGTTGCCGTCACTTTATACATGAAGCTGTTTGACGATGGAATGACTACAGCCAGTATTCAGACACGTGGATGCAGCTAAACGCACGTAACCGACATCATTGCATTTCATCAGGTACATACCATGAAGCTACATACAAGACATGGCCTTGACATATATTAGGAAACTGTCAAAGAAGGTGCTTATACATTTTGTAGGGGGTCACTATTGAACAATTTTAAGGACTGAGCCTGGACACGGTCTTGAGTCCAAGTGCCGCAGTATATTGAACCAGTTACCATGGCAGGGAACCATGTGAAATCACCGTTATTGAACATGCAAGATTGTCGCTTTCACTCTCAAAGCCTGAGTAACCACCGGCGCTCTGTATTTTTGTATTTATTCTCACGGCACTTTGTCTGAAGTAAAAAGCTAGTGAGCTTGTATGAGAAGTACAAGAGGCGTCTTCACTGGCGATGCGTTGTGTGCCGCATGGCTCTTGTAAACTTGTGAATTGATCCAAATCGTCCATCCTCCAAACCCATCTGCCAAAGTTGGAAGACGGTGCTAACGAAATGAAGGGTTTGCAGGGTTAAGAATGCCCATATCTAGTTGTTGATCTGCTCTACGGTATCATGATAGTTACACTATCGGTTCACTTATCGTCATGCCATGCCCTGAATCGGTAGGTAGAAACGTGCTATTTTTCCGCTTGTAAAATACGGCCATGTACTCACTCAACTCGAGCTCTCACAAAGACCTCGTGGACTCGACACCAGACTGCTTCTCTCCTGTACGCATATTTTGCAATGGACAACAAAACTCACTACCCTAGCTCGTCCCGCTCAAACACACCCTTTCTACGCACGAAGGCCTTCTTACAGTCTCACAATGAGCCAGCCCGCAAACAAGTCTTAGGTGCCTCAATTCCCACCTGTAACCACACCTCCACCTCACTTACATCTTGCAGTCAGCAGAGTGAGGCTTGCAAGTTGCAACACATAGTAGCACGAGGCTACGCCCCCTGCAAAAAGCAACATTGAAACTACTAAACAAACCATAACTGCCCATGGAAGAATCTCGCTCATCTCCTACGGGTCCCAGCACGGAGTACTCGGGGTCCAGACCGCGAATAGGGGCACCTCCACGACAAACCATCACCACCAAGTAGCGCCGAGTCCCACGAGCACCATCTGCAATTGAGTTTCAACCAACTGAATCATACCTGCAACGCTGGCACCCTCGCCGCAGAAACTGGGCGACCGTCCCGCAAAGCAACCACAACTCAACCCAAGGCCACCCGGCGGCCCAATGCCCAGCGTCGAACTGCTCAGCTCGCTGCGGCGGCGAAGCCTCTCGGGCATCAGTCTGTGCGCAGCAGAGCCCGTCACACACCTCGTCCCGTGCGTAGCAGCCAGATCTGACTGCTGAGCAGGCCGAGGCACAAGATAAATCGACCAGTCATGCGCCTCCTGTCAACGGGCTCCAGTCCCAGTCCCCCCCGGGTAAACGCCCGCGGAGCGTCGTATCGGTGGTGCCTTGGTTCGCGGTGGCAACTGAGTGTCGGCGCTCGACTACGCCGTACGGTATAGTAGTTGACGTCTCGGGGCGTCTAGTTTCCATCGAGCTTGCCAACGTACAGCTGGGAGTCGTCGGACGTCTTTTCACCCCGCGTGCTTGACGCCACGGCTTGTCGCGAGGTTGCGAACCTTGTCGGCCGTGGCTGGCGCTGCCTCATGACTCAGGTTGCCACGATCCACTTTTTGGCACGACCAGTTCAGGAATCACGATTGCCGAATCGGGGTTTACTACGTGACATTGGAATAGAACTGTGCATATCGTTGCCGGAATGGACTGGTGGTCAACTGGTGGCATTTGCCCTCCAGTTAGTCGATTTCGAGAAGCGACACGATCAAACGAAAAAAAAAAGTCGATGGATATCCTATATGTCGTCTGGGCAACTCT